GGGCAAAGGTGACTGTTGGATAGTGATCACAGGAGGCAGCCTGGTATGAAGCAGATTTCAGGAGTTTTGTAACAAGAATGCTTTACATGAAGTCTATATTGGGACTTCAAGACAACCTGGTCACTTGGCATTGGTCCTGGGAGAACTATGGATGAGCCTCCCAGGTGGACCTCCTGTCTCGAATGTGACAGCTGCTGATCCACACCTGCCACCTGCACGCAAGGCCTGGTCCTGGTCCATGCAGTTCCCATGAAAGGATGGGCCATCTATAAATAATAGCAGCCACTCCAGCAGGAGACAGGCTTGTCATCACATCCCTGTTGGGTGGGGTGGTTTGGGGCAGTGAGTTTATTCCAGAAGACAGACAGCTTGGAAGCACGAGGCTAGCCTCTGAGGGGCATGAGGTCCCTGCACAGCAGCTAGAGGCATTAGGGCAAATCCGAGATGTTCACACTTCCTGCTGGTATTTTAAAGTAGGTAAAAGCTACAAGTTTCAAAAAGTTAATAAAATTGCAAGCTACAAAGTAATAAAAATGTAAAAATTACCTTTTAAAAGTTTGCAATACCAAGTGAACAGAAGGTTAAACAAAGGCTTAGAGTTTGAAGTAAATAATAGTAGCTAAAGTGAAACATTTTAAATTATTACAAAGGAATTTTAAAACAGTTTAACCAACCATCACTTCTCGGCCTTTTGGCTAAGATCAAGTGTAGTATCTGTTCTTATCAGTTTAAAACAGTTTAACCAATAAAAATAATAGATTCTGGGAAAAGTTTACAGTTTTTAACAAACTATTAATTAGTAAGACGATACAACTTGGTTAAAATAGGTAAATAAATGAGGTGACAAGATGGAAAAAAATAAGATTTTTAAAGCCACTTTGATTCTGGGGGCTTTCCTGAGAAGGGTGGGCACAGGTGCAGCTTCTGGTCAGGAGTGACTGCAGCTCAGCGGGGCCCAGTCCCAGTTCCCAAACCTGTGATGTGCACCAAGCTCCTTGCCCGTGTAGGCAAGTTGCCTGGTGGCGTATGGAGACGTTGTCACACGCAAGCCACCTTCTCTGCTTATTGCAGGTGTTCGATGTGCAGAGGAAAGTCACCTATAAGAACCTGGGCACCTGGTACGCTGAGCTTCGGGAGTTCAGGCCAGAGATCCCGTGTGTCGTGGTGGCCAATAAAATCGATGGTAAGGCCACCCCTGGGTGTCGGGTCAGCAGTTTATGGGGACCCGCCAACATTTCTTCTGGTTTTCTGGTGCCGTGAGCCTTCAATGATTCCTCCTTCCCGAGATGCAGCCGTTGGTTGTAGGCCCTCACTCCCTTTCTAGTAAAGAGCCAATTTCTGGAATGGGGCTGCCGGTTACCCACCCTGCAAATCCCTCTCTTTCCCTGATGGACAGGCCTGTCTCCTACCTTTTCTCTACAGCTGACATAAAGGTGACCCAAAAAAGCTTCAATTTTGCCAGGAAGTTCTCCCTGCCCCTGTACTTTGTCTCAGCTGCTGATGGCACCAACGTGGTGAAGGTAATACTGGTCTGCAGAGGTCAGACAGCCAGGTGGTAAAGGACAGAGAAACCACAAGAGAAGGGCTGACAGAGGGGGCAGGCCCTGGGACTGATAGGTAGGGGTCCCTGTGGGCATTGACAGACGGGAGATGATGGGCCTGTGGCCCATGAGTGGAGTCAGGCTGACAGGAAGAAAGTGAATTAAGGAGTGACTTTGCTGATATTGAGGTGTAGTGTTGTGTGCACTGAAGACCAGGCCAGTGGGGCCAAGGCAGGCGGAGCCCAGGTCACTGGCACCCATGGCCGTGTTTTCCTTCCTCCCCACCTCCCCCAGCTCTTTAACGATGCGATTCGATTAGCTGTGTCCTACAAGCAGAATTCCCAGGACTTCATGGATGAAGTTTTGCAGGAGCTTGAGGTAGGTCAGGCTCCAGTATGTGGGCCTATGTGGGGGGTGGGGGAGTCCCAAAACAGCTTCTTTTCAGAGGGTGTCAAGCATAAGCCAACAGAGTGGCTCTTGCAGGTAGCACCTGCTGGCATGTGCAGCGGCCTGGATGTATCGCCATAGGCGGGCAAGCATAGGGCCAGGCCTCACCTGAAACCTTGTCCACAGAATATTAATTTGGACCAGAAAGAGGAGGACCAGCTAGCCCAAGAGCAGTGTGGCAACACCAAGACCCTGCCTCCCTCCTGAGCCCGAGGATGCCTTTCCCCTCACAGCTCCGGCTCTGAACTGAGAAACTTCATGGCCTTCCACACCCAACCCTCTACAGCCATCCCCTGTGCTAAAGGACAGGGATGGGGCAGCACCAGCAACGCCTGACACATGGAGGTCCGTCCACTCCAGATCCCGCCCAGGATTGAGGATTAGTCCCCCTCTAGGGTTGGACAGAGAGGAGAATCTGGGAACCTGCTTTGTGTATCTCTTAAATAAAAGGAAATTTAGGTGAGTTTTTTGTCTCAGAATGGTAAAAAGCCCGACTTCAGCATGAGGCATTCCTTCCCATTCCAAGCAGCGGTGGGACGAAGTTCCCCGGGCAGCCAGGGCACAGACAAGCCCTTCTCTCCAGTGCTTGTGGCTCACTGATGTGCTTAGTGATCATCTTGTACATCATTTCCACTGTATTTATTCTTTTCCTTTTACAGTAAAGGTGGAATTACATAACTATTGAACACGTGTGTGTTTTATGGGTCTGGATTTCACTGGGCCAACAGCGTGAAAGAATTTGCAGGTCTCAAACCACCTTAATGCAGGAGACTGCCCTGATGTCTGGAGTCACCCAGTTAACTCTCAACTTACTGGGATAGAGACCACTCACTGCCATTGAGTGTTTTTAAAAAAATGAGTTTGGGAGTGGGAGGGGGCAAGAACAAACTTTTCCCCTCTAAGTTACAGATGCTTACTATGATTTCAATTTAAGAGATTAAATCTGACCAGGGATTTGCAGGAATGTGTTACCTAGTGAGGTGCTCTTTTATTTATTTATTTTAATATATTTTATTGATTTTGTACAGAGAGGAAGGGAGAGAGATAGAGAGTTAGAAATATCAATGAGAGACAGTCATCGATCAGCTGCCTCTTGCACACCCGCTACTGGGGATATGCCCGAAACCAAGGTACATGCCCTTGACGGGAATCGAACCCGGGACCCTTCAGTCCCCAAGCCGACGCTCTATCCATTGAGCCAAACCGGTCTCGGCTAGTGAGGTGCTCTTTTAAAAACAATAAAAACCATTCCCTAGCCCTGTGGTCAGCAAACTGCGGCTCGCAAGCCACATGGGCTCTGGCTCCAACTGCTCACTTGCCTGCCTACCTGCCTGATTGCCCCTAAGCATTCTGTTTGCTGGCCTGCTCACTCCCAACTGCCCCCTCCCCACTCCACCGCTGGCCTCACCCCCAAATGCCACCCCCCACCAGCCTGATCACCCCCAACTACCCCCGTGCCAGCTTGCTCACTCCCAACTGCCCATCCCCCTTACTGGTCTGCTTACGCCCAACAGCCCCTACCCTCCCATCCTGGCTTGATCAGCCCTCCCCCCTCTCTTGGCAACCCAAGGTCTCAGCCCCTCCTTTTTTTCTTTTTCTTTTTCTTTTTTTTTCTTTTTTCAGCACCTCCTTGAGCAGAGACCAAGGCCGGCTGAAAGCAAGTATCTAGAATTTATTTATTTATTTATTTTATAATTGAAACTTTGTAGCCCTGAGTGTAGGCCAGGGCCAGCCAGGGCTGGCAGGAACCTTAGCTTCCTCCATCGCCGGGGCAACCCAAGCCTCCTGCTTGCTCCAGCTCTGTGGCCAGCCACCATCTTGATTGGGTAAATTTGCATACTTGTTCCTGATTGGGCTGTGTTGGGGGTGGCTGGTGGGCATAGTGGAGTGATAGTTTATTTGCACGTTTTTCTTTTATTAGTGTAGATGTTCAACTGATGGGGAATATCAGACATTTTTGGGGGGGGAGGGGGGCTAGCAATCTGAATCTGTGCCAGTAACCTAGTGTACATTCTTGATAGACTATAATTAAGTCACTGCCCCTTTCTTTTATTTCTTTTTTTAATATATTTTATTGATTTTTTACAGAGAGGAAGGGAGAGGGATACAGAGCTAGAAACATTGATGAGAGAGAAACATCGACCAGCTGCCTCCTGCACACTCCCCACCGGGGATGTGCCAGCAACCAAGGTACATGCCCTTGACCAGAATCGAACCTGGGACCTTTCAGTCTGCAGGCCAATGCTCTATCCACTGAGCAAAACCTGTTTTGGCAGTCACTGCCCCTTTCTTAATCTGGTCTAGCAAGACCTGTTTTCCTAATTACTCCCAGTTTACAAAGGGGCCATAAACAGAAAACAAAGCAACCGAAGGGTATAAAAGAGAAAACTTCCTCAATATTGGCTTACTCAGGATTTGGAGAACTGACCCCTTGAGTCACTGTACCAGTACACGTGAAACATCTGAAAATAAATGGGTTTATCCTGGACCTCTGAGTAATCCCTGTGTATTTTTAGGTCACAACCACTGACACACACCAACTCAGCAAAGCTCATTTTAACATGTACCATTAGGTGTTCTATTTTATGTGGTCCACATACTTTGACAACCTACACTTTGAGAAACATAATTTTATGAATATTTTATTTTATTTTTCTATGAATTTTTTATAATTAAACGTCTGCTTTTAAAATAAAAATAGATGTTTTTTTATTTTGTTTTGTTTTGTTTTAAAATATATTTTATTGATTTTGTACAGAGAGGAAGAGAGACGGATAGAGAGTTAGAAACATCGATGAGAGAGAGTCACCGATCAGCTGCCTCTTGCACACCCCCTACTGAGGATATGCCCACAACCAAGGTACATGCCCTTGACCGGAATCGAACCTGGGACCTTTCAGTCCCCAAGCCGACGCTCTATCCATTGAGCCAAACTGGTTTCGGCAAAAAAAATAGATGTTTTTTGAGAAATAAAAAATAATTAAAAAAAAGAAAAAATCCAGAAAACATCTCTTCTTAGAGAAATATTTATTTACTTATTCATCTTTCTTTTCTGCCCACGAAGGTTTCACCAGCCTTTTGACAGTGGGGTCAGCTCTTGGAGGCCTGTGGCCTCCATTTCCTCCTCGCCTCTTGTCCTAAAATTCCTCGTGTTCCCCTTCAGGGTCTCTATGAGTTGCTGGAGTCGTTTGGCAAAAGAAGGAGCTTCGGTAGGTTTAGTGAAAGGTGGAGGTGGTTGGGGTGGTGGTGGTGTGGGTGGGGCTGGGGGTGGGGATCGGGATGGGGCTGGGGGTCGGGGTGGGGCTGGGGGTCGGGGTGGGGCTGGGGCTGGGAGTCGGGGTGGGGCTGGGGTTGGGGGTCGGGGTTGGGGTCTGGATGCAGGTAGCTTGGTGGGAAGTGGTTGGAAGTACCAAGGAGGGGGAGTAGAGGGGAGTTGAGTGGGGTTTGTGGCAGTACTAGGCAGGGCAGGGGTGCCCTGCTGAGCCGACTGAGCCATCTGCAAGGCCTGGATACCAATCTTGGAAGCAATCCAGCTCAGATAGGGCCAGGTGGATGTGTAGATTCCGGGGCGCTTGGCTCGGGCACAGCCTACCCCCCAGCTCGTGATTCCCATGACCACATAGGCGTCCTCCGGGCCTCTGCACACGAGCGGCCCACCACTGTCCCCCTGCCAGAAGGACACGGGAGTCACTTTCCGCTGAGCCGTGGCCACTTCTCCCTGCTGCCCAGGAGGGCCACAGGCTCTGGCAGGCAACTTCTGCAGCCAGTTTTCCACTCCCAGAAACGCAGCTGGCTGTGGTGGAGGGTCCATTGGGATGTAACGGGTGTGACCGCCGTGGGTTTCCTCCCAGGGAGGAGGAGATGAGGAACTCACGTGTCCGTGCAGGCACACCTGAGCGCATGTGTGTAAGTGGTTGGGAGGGTTTGCATTCTGGGAAAGGACGTACAAGTTCTGTCCAGGGCGTGTTTGGGTGATATGATCGCTGTGTGAGGGTGGGAGAAGGTGCTAAAGGTGGGGGTTGGTTCTCTGTAGGGGCAGCTGGTGGCATCACCGCCCATGTTAAAAGTGACCATAGACACGGCATCAGGAAAAAAGTCTCTAGCTCAGGGCCCCGGAGTATATGGAGCTGAGGGATCCAAAAAGGAGGTGGCCATAGGGACCTGGGCACCCTCAGGACAGTTACCTGGCAGGTGTCGACTTTGCCTTCAGGGTAGCCTGCGCACAAGTTGGTGGAGTGAATGCGCCCTCTGTACCACCCGGTCGAGTTGCACAGGTTGAGGTCGATGATGTCCACACGCGCCTCCTGCAGCACAGGTGACATCTTGCGGTCTACAACCAGGGACTTGGTGGTCAGTGATCATGGAGACACGCGAGTGAAAGCCCTGCTGCCGTCCTGCACAGAGCTCACCTCATCCTGAAATGCTCCATTTAAACCCAAGAGCCACCCTCCCCTTCACACCCCAGACCAGCGAGGGGTAGGGTGGTGTCCCAAGGCACACACCTGGAGGGAGGACAGAGAAAGAGTCTGGAAAATGGACAGAAGGACGTGGGGTGGGCAGTTTTGATGAGAGATGTATGTTTGAGGATCTGCTAGACTGTGGAGGGCAGTTGGCTGAGCACTGAGGGGTCCACTGGTGTCGTGTCATGTACTCAGGAGCCTGGAGCACCACTTGCCTGAGTCGCAGCAGGGATGTGCTGTGACCTGGATTTAGACCCCAGTTTTTCTCTCCAGAACCAAGTCCAGTTCTGGCTGTAAGTCTCCCTTCCTGTGGTCCCCAACAGGACTCCTCCAACCCCTTGGACAGGACCCTCCAAGTGGGCTGGCGAGGCCCTCCCCATGAGCCTCCTCTCTGTTCCCAGGAAGTCTTGAACCAAATCAAGGACCAAGTCAGTCCCTCCTGTGCAGCCCCACTCTGTCAGGGTCCCTAGGATGGGAAAGGCTGGCCTGTCTGCACGGAACCTGAGAGCCACCAGCTGCCCCCTCTTGGTTAGGGGGGGTCCCACAGACAGAGGTCCTGATGGCAGCCGCTGCTCTGACCCTACAGCCCCGGGGTGGGTTTGAACACACAGTATCTGCAGTGCAGACAGGGGCATAGACAGGGCAGGCCTGTTGGAGGGGCAGGTCTGGAACGCGCTACGTGGGCCAGAAGGGAAGACAGAACCCCATGGAGCACGCGGGTGCGGGCAGGCACACAGCCAGTGACTCTGATGTTTCCAATCTCTTCTGCCCCCACCTTCCCTGCCCCTCAAGCAGGAGGCACAGTCTGCAGTTCTCCGCCCTGTGGTAGAGGTGACCCAGAGACAGCGACCACAGAGGCTCCTTAGCCATCGAGATAGCCGTTCTGTCTATGGCAGAGCCCGAGCCCAGAGAGCCAGGGTTTCATTGTGAAGAGCCTGGTGTCCTCAAGCAGAGAAGTATTTTCTGGATCCCCGAGCCCTGTTTTACATGACACATGCTGACAGCCTGCAGCAGCTCAGCGTCCATCCGTCGGAAAGGAGAGGGTGGCAGAGCTCGTTCCAGGGGCAGGTGGAAAGGAAGGTATGGAGGAAGGGCACAGGGGTTGGAGCCTAAGATTTCTTTAAGACCCAGCCTTGGGAGAATGTGTGAGCCAAAAAGATAGAAATCCCATTATGTTTAGAGAGATTCTAGGACGAAAGAGGCCTTGCAAGACATCCAGGCTGCACAGAAGCCTGCACTCAGCAGCAACACGATAGCACGAACCCTGACATCAGCCTCCGGGATGCATGAACCCTAGAGGCCGGACGTGGTTGGGCAGGTGGGCAGGGAGGGCCAGCGAGGGAAGGTCAGTCAGCAGAAGCCAGTGGTAGCAAGGGCAACTGCTAGAAACACTTTCTAAGGAGACAGGTGGCTACTCTATTAGAAACTGAGAGCAAGCTTCCGAGAGGGGACTAAGAGTTAGGAAAGAATCCTGAAATTACTGATTTTGGAGTTACCAGTAAAGGCTGTGTTTTAAACTCCACAAGAACAGCCTGGAATGAGAAAGCCTAAAGGGTCTGTTATCAAGAAACAGAAGAGTATGAGAGCTAATTTACGTCACTCGTATCTTCACATTCCTGGTGTGACTGGGTAACAGTCAGGCAGCCCCCTGTGAAAAGCCCTGCTCTGCTGGCCAAACCTTCCTGCCATGGAGACAGATGGCAGACCACCCCCCACCCCCACCCTCTCCCTTCTGCAGGGAAACCTTACAGCAGCTACAATGGCTGGGGAGGATTTGAGAGCTATGACTCCCAAGGGTGGGGGCAGAGGGGCTGGGCACTGGCCTTTCCACCCACAGGTGGGGAAACTGAGGACAGAGAGAGAAAGGACCGACCTGCAGCCACAAAACCCCACCTAGAGCTTCTCTCCCCATTTCCAGGATGCAGCACTGGTGGCTCTGGGCAGGCACTCAGCTCTCGCCCTCAGTTTCTCTGGCTGGAAAGGGACAGAGGTTGCACCCACCCAAAGGCCCCCCACATACCCTTTCACCTCAAAGTGCACCGATGGAATGCTGCACAATGCACCCCGAAAGCCCCTCCTGGACTTACCATTCTCCCTTAAGAACCCCCAACCAGTCACCCAGCAGGACTGGGACACTCTGGGTGGGCCGGCCATAAATGGGGGCAGGCAGCTGGGTCTGACAAGGCTTCCACAGACCACAGGAGGGGTGACCTTCATGAGAGCAATGTCGTTGGCCTCTGAGATGGAGGAGTATCTCTCATGAGGGATGATTTTCTCCACAAATCTCTCCTGGAGGGGTGCTTTCACGGGCCCGGTGCTGCCATACTCTAGTTCCCTTGCTCCGAAAATCAGTCTCCAGTCATATGGTTTTCTGTGCACACAGAGGGACCAGGTCATTCCCGCCTGGCACCTGGCACCAGCTGTGACTGAGAGCCTCAGCCCTCTCCTCACAAGGGTCCCCTCAACATATTCACCCGGGTGGCCACTGGGCCCTGAGCAGAGACCCCCCACCCACACCCCACGCCCAGAAGGTTCCTGACAAGAGCCCTTGGGAAGACCCCCTGCCTGCTCCCACACCTACTTATTGAGCCTGAAGCAGTGAGCAGCAGTGAGTACCCACTGGGCATTCAGCAAGGTGCCTCCACAGGCGTGGTACCTCCGGCTGTTGTGGTAAGTGAAGACCTGCAGGCTGACCATCCAGGGCCACGCCCCGGGAGCAGCAGCCTGGCCTCCGATCACACGTGTGGTCGCTTGTAGGGTCTGCCTGAACGGTCGTCCACAGGAGCCACTGAGGAGGGAGCACGGGCACAGATGAGGCCAAGAGCAGGCATAGCCTGTGCTTGTGCCTCAACTGAGGGCAGAGATTCAAGAGTGGGGAAGATCAAAAAAAAAAAAAGAGTGGGGAAGATCGCCCAGGCGGCATGGCTCCGTGGTTGAGCATTGACCTGTGAACCAGGAGGTCACACTTTGATTCCTAGTCAGGGCACATGCCCAGGTTCCAGGCTCAATCCCCAGTAGGGAGCAGGCAGCAGGCAGCCCATCAATGATACTTTCTCATCATTGGTGTTTCCATCTCTTTCTCTCCCTCCCTTTTGAAATCAATAATATATATATATATATATTTGTATTTTTTGGTGTAGAGAGGAAGAATCTTAAAAAATAAGTGGGGAAGATCTGGGAAAGCGAGGGCAACCTTTGGTGTAGGGTCAAAGGGGGTGTCATGAGGGCCATGTTGTGGGGCTGTGACAAGGCAGAAGACACGGGCTCCAGGAAGTGTGGTGAGGGCTGTAATTTCTTGGTCTTGTGGGTGTAGCCACAGGTACGGGGAGAGGATGCCACAGGCAGCTGGAAAGATGGAAGTGGAGGCCAGGGGCTGGGGGAGGCTGACATGGGAGTACAGAGTGCCATGGGCTGGGGTCTTCAAAACCAGACTTTGGGGTTCAGGGATAGCTTAGGCAGTCAGGAAAGATGAGGACCTTGTCTTGTAAGAGGTGGAAATTGAGTCACAGGTGAGGCAATACTAGTTTGGGACTTATTAACATGTGTGGTATCCTGGACACTGGGGGGTTTCAGGGGTGTGAAGGCCCTAGAGCTACAGCAGGTCGATGCCTTAGGACTCGTTCACAGGCTGGGGCATCACATGTCTGCAGGACTGATGAACATCAGGATGTAGGTGTGTGGGTAGATCCCCATGCTGTGCATGACCTCAGAGCAGGGGATCTGCATCAGGCCGGGGGTCACCAGGAGGCTGCGAAGGCCCCAGCATGGCCTGTTCTCTGGACAGAGGTAGTCTGGGTCTGCTCTTCAGAGGGCACCCATCCCCCACCAAGGTCCTGGACACTTACTCACACGTGCTGTTAACTTTGGCAACTACAGACACTGCCAAGACCAGTAGAACGGCAGTTGGCAGCATCTCCACCATTGTCCTGCCCAGCCACCGGGAGGCCTGCTGACCTCACAAAGCTCCGAGCATCTTGACCAATCAGCAGGGCCACCTCCCCCACCCAAGAGGCAGGTAGGTCTGTAGGAACCCCTTAGCCTAACGGGTTCTCGCTGAAGTGACTTCTCCACTCGCACACAGGTTCCCCTGGATGAGGGGGACTCACATGCAGCCCCTCCCTTGACCCCAAATCTGGCCAGGGATCTTTGTGGTCCCACTTCATCTGAGATGACAGAGCCTGCCTTCCTTAGCCCGCTGCGGCATCTATTCTCTAACTGAGTGTATTCTGGTCTCCTTTCTGAGACTTATATGCAGCAAGGTGGTGTTCCCGATAATTGCCAGGAATTCTCATCATGGTTACCTGAATATCACGCAGTATTCTTTCTTTTTTAAATATATGTCTTATTGATTTTAGAGGAAGGGAGAGGAGAAAGAGATAGAAACATCAATAATGAGAGAGAATCATCAATTGGCTGCCTCCTGCACACTCCAACAGGGAATTAAGCCAAACCTGTTCATTTGCGACCTGGAATGAAACCCCTGGTTCATAGGTCGACACTCAACCATGGAGCTAAGCTGGTCCTGGAAGTATCCTTTCTTCTGATTGTCAGGAGATGGCATCTCACCCACCAGGGATAACCAATGCTCACCTCACACACCTGAGTGTTAAAAAGTGTGAGAGTTACCAGCTGGGAGTTACACCAGTGAGTTACTCTCTCTTCCTTGAATATAAGTGTCTCTTTCCTTCCATGTCAGAGCCAAAGGCCTTCTTCCACCACCCAAGTGTCACTTTGCACATCTCTCCCTGAGAACCAAGTCTCACATGCTCAACCTGAATGGCAGAGGTGACGTCTCACCGAGATGAGTACTCTCAAGTTTAAACTGCCTCATGCAGTGGCAGGATCCTCATCCCCACCTGGCTGACAGAAGGTCTCCCATCTCCTCCCTGAGCGCAGTCTCACCTTTCTGCCTGCAGGTTGTGAGCTTTTATCTCCTCTTCCTGAGCATCTTGCGGTCTTGTCTGGCCTGCCTGAGGGTTGTGAAACCTCATGGCCCCTATCTGTGGGCAAGGGATCTTCTAAGCCACACCTGAGTGTCCCAATGCTGCCGCTCCTCTACCTGGTGTCAGGGGATTCTATCTCTCTGTCTATATCTGGAGGTTCCATCTCCTCTCTCTAAGTCAGTGTTTTTCAACCTTTTTTGTGCAAAGGCACACTTGTTTCATGAAAAAAATCACGAGGCACACCACCATTAGAAAATGTTAAAAAATTTAACTCTGTGCCTATATTGACTATATATAAAGTAATTCTCTTGAATAGGAATCAAATAAACACAAAGAAAGTATTTTATAATTACTTTATTATGAAATATTAAGTAAACAAAATAGTGAAAAATTATAAAATTCTTGTCTTGTCTGCACCTACGGCACACCAGGCAACATCTCTGCCGCGGAACAGTGGTTGAAAAACGCTGCTCTAAGTGACCAGGGGTCTCATCTGTCCCATTTTTGTTACTTGATCGTGCTTGATTAAGTAACAAATCTTTTTTTAATTTAATAAATATTTATTGCTCAGATTATTACAATTGTTTTTCCTTTCTCTTATCCCCCCATAGCTCCCTTCCACCCGGTTCCCACACCACCCTCTGCCCTTACCCCCTCATTGTCCTCATCCATAGGTGTATGTTTATAGTCCAGTCTCTTCCTGCACCACCACACCCTTTTCCCCCTGATAATTATCCATTCTCTTTCTTTGCCCCTGATTCTATTATATTCACCAGTTTATTCTGTTCCTCAGATTTATAATTCACTTGATTTTTAGATTCACTTGTTGATATATATGTATTTATTGATCATAATTTTTATCTTTACTTTTTTCTTCTTCCTCTTCTTAAAGAATACCTTTCAGCATTTCATATAATACTGGTTTGGTGGTGATAAATTCCTTTAGTTTTTTCTGATCTGTGAAGCTCTTTATCTGCCCTTCAATTCTGAATGATAACTTTGCTGGGTAGAGTAATCTTAGTTGTAGGTTCTTGCTATTCATCACTTTGAATATTTCTTGCCACTCCTGTCTTGACTGCATAGTTTCTATTGAGAAATCAGCTGACAATCGTATGGGTGCTCACTTATAGGTAACTGTTTTTCTCTTGCTGCTTGTAAGATTCTCTCTTTGTCTTTTGCCCCTGGCATTTTAATTACAATGTGTCTTGGTGTGGTCCTCTTTGGATTTCTTTTGTTTGGGGTTCTCTGCACTTCCTGGGCTTGTAAGTCTATTTCTTTCACCAGGTGGGGGAAGTTTTCTGTCATTATTTCTTCAAGTGGGTTTTTAGTATCTTGCTCTCTCTCTTCTTCTGGCACCCCCATAGTTCTGATGTTGGTATGCTTGAAGTTATCCCAGAGGCTCCTTACACTATCTTCAACTTTCTGGATTCTCTTTTCTTGCTTCTCCAGAGGAGTGTCCTTTGCCTCTTTGTATTTCAAGTCTCTGACTTGATTCTTGCATTCCTCTAGTCTGCTGTTGGGTCTCTGTTAATATTTTTTATTTCAGTCAGTGTATGTTTAATTTCTATTTGGTCCTTTTCATATCCTCGAGGGTCTCACTAAATTTATTGGCCTTTTCTAGGAAATTCTTGAAAAACCTTATAACCATGGTTTTGAACTCTATATCCAGTCTTTTGTTCTCCTCCATTTATTTATTTATTTATTTATTTATTTATTTATTTATTTATTTTTGAGATCTGTTTCCTTGTCTTCCCATTTTCACTGCTTCCCTGAGTTGGTAGGGTGGCTTTGTGTGTTTGGTGTCTTACATGTGCCTGTGGATCATCCTCCCCAGTTACCTGAGGTAGACACTCTTGGTGCTCCCATTTGTGTACTGTGTGTACAGCCTTGTTATAGTTGAGTCTTGATTGTTGTTGGTATCAGTGGGAGGAATTGACCTTCAGGCCAATTGGATGTGAGTATCAGCTGTGTCTATGCTGGGATACCTTCTTTTTTTTTTTCTAATATATTTTATTGATTTTACACAGAGGAATTGAGAGGGATAGAGAGTTAGAAACGTCAATGAGAGAGATACATGGACCAGCTGCCTCCTGCACCCCCCCCACTGGGGATGTGCCCGCAACTAATGTACATGCCCTTGACCGGAATCGAACCTGGGACCTTTCAGTCCTCAGGCCAACGCTCTTCCACTGAGCCAAACCGGCTTCGGCTGGGATACCTTCTGTATTGGAGACAGTCTTATCCATGAGCCTCTCTCTTTCTTTCTAGTTGTAGATTTCCCATTCAGCCAGCTTTCCTGTGGTTTTGGATAATGTCTGTTCTGTCTTTAAATTGTTGTTTTGAAATTGTTGTGGGGGGGCGGTAGTTTAGGCGCTTACCTAGGCCACCATCTTGGTTTTCCTCCTGCCCCACTTTTATAAAGATGTCTCATCTCCCCTATATGAGTGTCCTAAAGTCTCATCTCCTTTACCTGAGTGTTGGACATGTCCACTCTTCTATTTGTCAGGACATCTCATTTTATCAAGATGAGCATCTCCAATCCTTTCTCCAGAGGGTCAGAAAGTCTCCTCTCCAATTACTAGGCTGGAACATCTCATCTCTGTTTCCTAGAAAGTGATGCGGCTTTGTCCATATACACCCCCCAAACACACACACACACACACACACTCACACACGAGTGTAGCAGGATGCATCACTCAAATCACTTGAGTTTGGACATGCATTGTTTCCCTTTCTTCCCAAAAGTCTTATTTCCTAGGATAACAGGTCTCAATAATCATAATCAACTCTTTGTGTCATGAGATTTTTATCTCTGCTGCCTGCATGTCAGGTGGTCTCCCTCTTTTCACCCTGAGTATGCAGAGGGCCCACCAAGCTTCAAGGGCTCTCAGGCACCTCTCTAACAGGATCTCTTACTTCCCAAATATGAGTGTCACAGGATGTGGGTCTTCCACTGGTGTATCAGGAGGCCACATTTCCCCTCTGCAAGAGTCCACTCTTTTTTCTCATCCCTCCCACTCTTCCTTCCTTTCTCTCTTTCTTTATCTTTTTCTTCTTTCTTTCTCTTTCTTCCTTCCTTTCTTTCTTTCTTTCTTTCTTTCTTTCTTTCTTTCTTTCTTTCTTCTTCTTTCTTTCTTTCTTTCTTTCTTTTCTTTCTTTCTTTCTTTCTTTCATCTTTTCTTTTCTCCTTTATTTTTTCTCTCTTTCCCTCTACATCAGGCAGTCTCACCTCCTCTATCTGAAGGTCAGGAGGTAAGAGTTTTCACCAACCTGTGTGTTAACAGGTTGCAGTTCAAATCAGTGTCAAGATTGTGCTTGATCAAGTAACAACAACAACAACAAAAAATCTTTGAAAATATCCTCCTATATAATAAAGAGGTAACATGCAAATTAATCCTCATGCCCTTACAAAATGGCAGTGGAGCTTTTGACACTGACTGGCATAGAAACCAACCAATCAGAAACAAGTCTGGGTGAACTGTGAAGGCAGAACCTAAGATGGGGGCTGAGGAAGGGTTTTAAGGGCAACAGCTGTTTTGCTTAAGGTGTAAGAAGGCAATTTTTTATTGACTGGTTTGACAGTATAGTGCATATAGGGAATTATGTATTTTTGTCTGCCAAGAGCATCTTCTTCTGCTGAAAAAGGCTTCTCTCTCTCTCACCCCATTTAAGCAATCCTATCCTATATAATATATCTATACTAATAAAAGGGTAATATGCTAATTATACTGGGTCAACAGGCCAACTTTCAGACATCTGACTTCCTTCAGGAAAAAGCCATAGTGGTGGGGGCCAAGGCAGAGGTAGTTAGGGTCAATCAGGCCAGTGGGGGAGGGCAGTTTGAGGAGATTAGGCAGTCAGGCAGAGACAGTTAGGGGCAATTGGGCAGGCAAGCAGGTGAGTGGTTAGGAGCCAGCAGTCCCAGATTGTGAAAGGGATGTCCAACTGCCAGTCAGACATCCCCAGAGGAGTCCCTGATTGGAGAGGGTACAGGCTGGGCTGAGGGAACACCTCCCCCCACCACACACACCCCATGTATGAATTTCATGCTCTGGGCCACTAGTAGTTACAGAAATGGCAATAAAAAGTCACAGAGTGATATTACAGTTTTGACTGTTAAAGAAAAGCCAATTCAGGTGTTTTCACAGGATTTTGTGAGATGGGCATGAAATTGATATGGTATTTAGATCCATGAGAATAATTTACCAGAATGATGTGACCATTTATTTTAAATGTTAAAATGTACACTTTTCTGTAAATCACAACTTTACAAGTATTTAAATATATGATCAAAACATTTTATATAAACTTTGACATGAGCAGGATCTAGTTTTTCAAAACATTGAGGGTTATGCAGTAACAGGGTTAAACGACCCAACGTCTGGATTCCACAGAATAATTGTTTGACTCTGCAGAGCGACGCCCACTCCTGGTTCTAGAAGGGGCTGCTAGGCATCCTGCCTCTTGAATGTCCCCTGGTGCAAACCTTGAGGTTCTGACTCTCTTCTGAGGCCTCAGGTGGTTTCTGACCTGCAGGGCCATTTGTCCTCTCCTTCATACCCTTACAGAGTCAAGGCCATGCCATCTCTGCTCCTGCTCTTCCCTCCACTGCTCTCCCATCCCAGAGAGACCAGCTACAGGTGCAGCTCAGGGCTCAGGATCTCCCCTACAGCCCACGCTGAGACTTCCTTCGTGGCCCTTCTGTATGATGACCAGTTTCTAACTTGAAAATGAAACCAAAAATTTGAAATTGTGGGGCTTACTAGACAGATGGCAAGACTCTTGAGGTCAAAATGCCCAGCAGTCTCCCAACGGTCTCTGCCTCACCAGGGCTTTCCTCGCCTTCCCCACAAGGTCACCCAGACCTTTGCTGGCTCCCAAAGCACCTGTGCCCATTCACTGCCTCCGGGCGGACATACACAGTCCGCCCCTCATCTCTCCGCTGGCTTCTCTCCACCACCTACGCTTACTCACTCTGCGACTGGCACACAACCCTGGAGGCATTTCCCAACAGTCTCACCAGGCTCTGTGAGAACCTGAGTCAAGGTCGACGTTTCTCATTGTCACGTTCACGCTGCACCTTCACACAGTATGGCCAGGCTCTGCACTCACAACCCCTCCTGCAACTCTCTGGTGCCCAACTTCTCTGGCATATCAGCTCTGCAGGCCTGGCCCTCTCAGCCTTGGACCCTGGGAAGTGTCCACCCACTCACCTCTGTTCATTCTCCTTCCACCCATTAGGCTGGCCAAGTGCCACCCCCAACAGGTGCCACCCCCAACAGGTGCCATACAGAACCTGCCACATCATAGGCTGTGGCATCTGGCTGCTTACCTGTCAGCTTAGGGAGAAGTGAGACCTGGACATTAGCAGCAGTCGTGGGGGCAGGACAACAGGGACAGACATGGGAGGACTGACAGGCAGGAGCAGCAGAATGAGAAACTGGGCTCTAGGAGGGAAAGAGGACAGACAGGGCCTCAGAGGATAACCGGACTTCCAGCTGGGGACTAGCCAGTGAGCAGAGAGGAAAGCTTCCAGGAGCACAGGCTGAGGTCCAGTGGGACTCAAGAGAGATGCAAGGAGCCGTGGCATGGAAGTCGGTCTAGAGCACACGTGTCAAACACAAGGCCCGCGGGCCAAATCCATCCCGCCAGGCCTTGCAATGTGGCCCGCACCGTGCTGTCATCACTGCACTCCGCTGCGTTTCCATCACAATGACAGTTTATGACTGTTCAGTAAACCATTCGGCCCACGATTTAGGCTGGATTTTAGATTTTGGCCCCTTCTCTGATTGAGTTCGACACCCCTAGTCTAGAGACAGGCTCAAAGAGGGGGCTGAGTCATCAGTGCCTGTGGCTAAACACTCATGCCAAAGCTGGGGGGGAGGAGAGGAGGGGCAGCTGTGGCCTAAGGGACAGCAGGGTCTGTGCTCCCAGTATCTCCTCAAACAGGCAACTGAGAAACAGTTTCATTTCTTATAAATTTATTACATAATAATATTATAATAATTATTATCAATAATAATAATAATAATATAAGAAACATAGATCTCTGTGGGGTGTATCACAACATCAGGGTCAGGAGGCCTCAGGACTGGAGCAGGGGGAAAGCCCCTGGATGGAACTCCATACAAAAGGAGGGTGAAGCGGTACTGACCCTGTAAAGTTAAAAACCCAAATCGAACGGAACCAAAAACCCACAGGTGAGTGTGAGACCGAGTGTGTATGTGGCAGCCTGTTACAGTCACGGCTGCTGTGTGATCTGTTCTGTTAGTGAAGGGTGGCTGGATGTGACTCTGCCCAGGGAATGAGGCCGCTGGGCCGGGAGGGGGTTGGGCGGGCACAGACCGGCGTGCCAGGCCCCTGGGCTGTGAAAACATCTGTTTTCTGGGTTTTTTATTTTTATTAAAAAAAGCTAGAAATATAAACAGAAACTTGTGAGTGACGTGGATGGAGCTTAGTCCAGACTCCAAACCCTAGGTTTAAAAACATCCCAGGGCCCCCCATCCCACAGGTCATTGCTGAGTGTGGGGAGTCACAGTAAGGGGGGCTGGGGTGCCCTCGGGGGTCTCTGCTTCTCCCCAGGGTTTATGGTGGCCTGACTCTAGGGGCGTTTCCCTAGGATCCCTCAGAGTCCTGGTAGGGGGGCGGGCACTGCCTCCAAGGGCCCTGGGGGGCACCCCCAGTAGCAGAGCTGGCCAGGCAGCCTGCTCAGGCCAGGCAGGACTCTGGAGGGGCAGGTGGGACAAACGCAGGTCCCAGGGAACAGGGGGGCCTCGGACCTTCTTTGGAAGCGGATGGGGTGCTTTCAGGCATGCACCCTGCACATGCTCCCAAAACCCTTGCACTGGTTCAGGGCCCGCTCCCCACTCAGGCACACACGGGGCTCCGAGGCACTCAGTAGAACCCACAGTTTCACACAGTCACACGCTTGCACACACACAGGCGGGACAGGAGACTGGGGTCTGAGGCAGAGGCTTCTTTGCTGTAGTTGCCCAACAATGTGGGGAGGAGGCTAGACTCCTCCTGGGGAGGGACCCCGTGAGGGAGATGGCTGGGAGCAGGTGCCAGGGTCCATCCCCACCCCTGGCGAGGGTCTCCCAGGCCCCCAGACCTTGCTAGTGCCCTGCAGGCCTGGCAGCCTGCTGCCCCTCCTCCACGCAGCACCGAAGGGTCATCGGGCACGCTAGAGCTCAGCGAGGGGAGGAGGCCGAGGCAGAGCCCCAGGGCGGCTACTAGGACCCTGGCCAACCCCAGACCAGCTGGAGCATCCTCCGCCCACGTGGGGTGGCAGTGGCAGTGAGGGGCCAGAGATGGAAGACTGGACAGCCACAGGGAACCAGTAGGAGGCTGGGGGGTGAGGGGAGGCAGGAAGGGAAGCTATTAAGGACAGAGATATTTGTTCCTTTTCTCGTTCCAAATATAGAGTGGATTAAAATATGCAAAACGGGGGGGCTCCTTGGCCCCCAACCGAGAACCCCAATGTCTCCCCCCTCCCCCCGAGTCACCAAGGTGTGTCCTGACCCCTCGCATGCTGGACTAGGTCCCCCCTCTAGGAGCAGCCTCTGGAAGATGTGTGGGAGCCGGTCAGGCTGGAGACCCACCCCAACCCCTCGGGCTCCACCCTCCCGTCCCCACTTCCTGACCGTGTGCTGGGTTGGGGCTCGCCGGCCGCGGGAGGGCGCTAAGCAATGTACAGGGCAAGTCTCTGAGCCACGGCAAACAGGACGATTCATGCAACATTCCTGGCCCGGGCGCCTTAGTGGGGGGCAGGGGCCGAGCCTGCGGCCCGGGGTTGGTTGGTTGGGGTGGGGGTGGGGGTGGGGGCCCTGCCCGCAGGGCGCGGCCGGCGCATGGAGGGGGTGGGGCGTCAGCTGCCCTCCAGCTGCCTGAGCGCGCGCTCGATGTTCATGCGGTGGCCCACGCGCGTGACGCCCAGCTCCACGAAGTCGTCCTTGGTGAGGGCCGGCAGGTGTGCGCCCTCAATCTCGTGGTCCTCGAAGCGGTCGCGGTGCTCGCCCAGGTGGATGCTCTCCAGCCAGTCGCCCACGTCGAACTTGCTCCACAGCTGCAGCGGCTTCTGCTGGAAGGGCCTGCGCGGGCCGGGGCCTCCCGGGCCGGGGCCGGGAGTGGGCGAGGGCAGCGGCGAGGGCGAGGGCGAGCGGCTGCGCGCGCTCACGCTGCGCACCACGAAGCGCACCTCCTTGGGCTCGTGCGGGATGGAGAGGCTGGACGACTTGAGGATGGTGGGAGGCGTGAGGCTGAAGGGCCGCCCCGCGCCCCCCGCTCCCGCCCCCAGCCCCTCCACCCGCTCCAGCGACGCGGGCTTCACTGGGCTCGGGGCGCGCCGGGCCAGAGGGTAGCGGCCGCCGGGCCGCACCTGGAAGGAGGCCCCGCCGCCCGGGCCCCCAGGGCTGCGCTGCGCTGAGATGGAGCTCAGCTCACCGAGGCTGCTGAAGAGCCTGCGGAGGGAGAGGGGTCAAGGCCAGATGAGGGGCGCCAAGCGGGATAGAGAGGGCTCGGGGGAGCTGGGTCAGTGGCCAGGATGCTCAGAGGGGGCTGGGACTTAGGGCCAGAGGAAGCAAGAGGGTGGGGTGGTCATGGTTTTTCACCCGCCATTTGTTTGGGTCCCAGGTGAGAACCAGTGCCATGCTGGTGTGCGGGGAGGACCCCTGGACTGAGTGGAATGATGAGGGAGAAAACCAGCAGCAGCCCCCTACATTCCACAGGGACTCCAAGACCCGCCAGCCAACGGGAGAAAAGACAGCCTCTCCTGGCAAAGGGCTGCTGCCCATCCACCCGGCCCTGGAGGGGGAGGCTCTGGCAGAATCCTCCCCAGTCCCCATACAGCTCTGCTCTCAGGAGACCCAGAGCAGCCTGGGCTGGCTGCAGGGAGCTGCGTCGTGAGAAAGGCTGGCTGTGAACAAGCCCATGACACCAGACAGACCACGCGGACAAGCAGCACGTGCAGGGCAGGCCTGAGGCAGCGACACAATGACACCGTCTCCCTGCACAGGCCTGCACACGGCAGTAGCAACAGCATCCACATGTGTCACAGACATGCAGCAGCAGTGGCAGGGACCTGCTCGTGACAGAGATGCAGCACATGTGGGCGGGCATGCACACGCACACACCCACACCCACACACACTGTCGACAGATGGTACCTCATTTCCCAACAGCATCTGGCAGGACCCTCCAGTCCCCCACCAGAGTGGCCGTGGCGGGAAGCCTGCCTGGGGACTCCTCCAAAAAAAGCCCCTCCCATGACACCCCCCCTTCCATCCCCTAGTGTGGCCAGAAGCCTCAGGAGACTGCCAGGAGCCCTGGAGCCCCAAGAAGCAGAGCAGAGCGGAGACCCAGCGGCCAGGTGCAGCGCATGGACAGAGGCATGGGATGAGCATGCTCACTTACACAGCCGGTGCTCAGGACCACCGCGCAGCTAGACAGAGCAGCCACATGCAGATGGGCAGGAGAGAGCAATGAGAGAGAGTGTTAGCAGCCCGGCCCACACAGCAGGCGCGCGGCCCACAGTCACGACCACAGTCAGGGCAGCCAGGGGCAGGGACCCCTGGCCGGACACCCAGTGAGGGAGGAACTCCAGTGCAGTGGGCCCAGGTGTGATGGGGGGAGGGGGCAAATCTGAAGCTGCTGGGGTATGGAGGGAGACCAGACCGGGGCAGATCTGGCTGGCTCCTGGTTTGCCTGGAATCTGTTCTCTGGTTTGTGAGGTACAGACCAGAGAGTCCCACCCACAGGCTGTAATGATCACCCCCAGCCAGGCTCCAGTCCCGAGTACAGCAAGTGATCAACAGGCTTCTGCTACCTGATGTCTCATGGACCCTCACACTTGACTCTGCTCCCATCCCACCTGCCTCTCCCTGCCTCTGCCTTGCTAAGGAATCCCCTCGGCTCCCCCACCCATCTCGTGCCGTCTGAACTGGCACCCATCGCACAGCATGGAGTGCTCTCAGCATCCAACCTCTCCTTAAAGCAGGTTTTGTCTTTTCATCTCCCACCTGAGCAGGGCAGCCTCTCCCTGGAGACCTAGTTTTGTCCCTCCTTCCACTGGCCCTCTCTCCTCAGCCTCTTTCCCTACCATCTCCTCCCGACTCCTTTGACCCAGAGCAGAGCCTCTTGAAGAGGCCAAACCATGTCCTCTACCCCAGCAGAGAGGAGCTCCAAGGGCATCTGGGATGGGCCCAGGGAACAGACGCCAACCAGAAGTCCCTGCCTGACCACACCTGACCTCCATGGCACTGTGGAATGGCTGAGGCAAGAATAATAGCCAAGAGGGCACTGCAAGGAGGTGGTGGGTGTTGGGGGTATTGACCACTAGGGAGGGGCAGTGCTGGGAAGATGCTAAGTGGCCTGTGGGATTGGGCCCAACACAGGCACCCCCACACAGCAACCCTAGCCTGGGACAGAAGTATGATGACGACTTGGCAGGATCACAGCCAAGCTGCAAAGATGGTCTGTGTGGACTGTGCTGAAGCCTCCTGCCTGACAGGTGAGCCGGAGGCCTGGAGTGAGGGTGGGTCATGTGCCACCAGGCTAGAGTAGAGGGAGAGGGCCAGCACATGCCTAAGGCACCCAGAGCATCTTGAGGCAGGAGGCCTAGAGGAGCCTAGGGAATAGTCCAGGGCACAGCAGGAGTGGCTGGGGCATCACCGCCCAGGTGTCTGCTTCTCCTTCCTTTCCTGTTGGGGACAGGGAACTGCCCACATCGTCCTCAGGACAGGAGTCCCAGCCGTGTCTGCACACCATCACTGTCCATCACCCCTCTCAGCTGTCTGACTGCCCCCCAGCGAAGCTCCAACCACAGATGACTATGCCACAGCACCTGCCAGCCTCCCATCCTCTAACACACAGTCCCATCTCTCAGACGCCTTGGCAGCCCTCCTCCAGGCGGCTCAGCCAGACTCTCAGCTTCTCTCCCAGCGTCTGAATCTTGTACTGTCCTGCCTCATGACACCTCAGCCAGTGAGGTCTGGCCAGGCTGCCAGCAGGAGCACTTGCTGAACTGTGCACCTGCTACTTTTCACGGTGCCCTTCCCACTACTCTTCCTCCTACTTGGGTTTCCCAAGCTGCCCTTTTAGTTGGCACTTTCTCCCCCATTTTTGCTACAGCCAGTGTGCCCAAGAAGGCCACACAGGCAGCCTGGCCAGTCTGGGTATCCAAATATGCTCTTCTCCAACCAGTCCTCCCCTTACCAGGGGCCTATAGCCACCACTGGTGTCCCCAGGATTTCAGCCTCGTAGCTGACAGAGCCCAGCTCCCAGCAGTAACCTAGCCCTGCTCCTTGGCCCCAGACACCTGAGAAACCAAGGTGTCACGCAGGACCTTGCATCTCACTTCCTCGCAGCTTCCCTGAATTCGCGGTACCTAACACGAATCCAAGAACACAGATGCAGAGAAAGTGACACCAAACAAAAATAACGTGATTCCCAGGCTTGACTACTGTGGGCCGTTGGTGTCAACAGGTCAGAACACATCCACACTCTGGCCTGGCCTCTGCCTGAGGCCTCTGTCGTGTGGGAGCCTCATTTAGGGAGATAAGCCTGAACAGGAGCACAGAACTAGACACAGGCTTGTAAGCTCCACTCACTCCAGTGACAGTGCCCAACCCTGCTGACTTCAACCCTGACATGCTACTGTACAAACATCCCTACACCCCCTCATCTGCAGCACCTTCCCAATCCCCCATCACGTCTCCTGGGGACACTGGATGTGTCCCAACCTCCTATCACCTACAAGGATATCCAGAGCAGAAGGGGTGTGCCTGACAGGTGAGGACAGAGCAGAAGTGTGATGTATGGCCAGTGCCTTGGCCCCAGCACCCCCACTCCAACCAGCACACAGCAGGTGTCTGTTCAGATTTCAGAAGAACTAGCCTTGCAATCACATGGGGTTTCCTCCAGATCCCTGTCACACGTGTGAGCAGGATGGGGCTCAGAAGGAAAGGGTTTCTTGGGCATCACAGGAACTTTTGTGAAGCACTAACTAGTGGTCTACTGAAGAAGCTGACAGGCATGAAACTACAGCACATCAAAGGCACTAAGTACTGCAGGAGAGAAACCTTTTAACTTGGTGTTCCCCAAGCTATGTCACTACAAACTGTCCCCTATAAAACCGGATGTGAGGGCCATACAGCTGTAAAATAGCCACAGCAGAACTGAGTGTTGCCGTGGGGCTCAGAGATGCTATGGACCCCATCCCACTTGTGGGGTCGGATCTGACCACAGAGCCTGTAAGACAAATGGATCTCAGGCATATGGGGCCTAAGAGACAATGTGGGTTCTGAGCAGACTCCCAGACTAGACCCAAAGCTGGGCTCACAGAGCAGGTGGATGGCCTGATATCAATGTCCCCCAACCCAAGGGTCCTGAACCTCCCAGGCAGTACCTAGCAGCTGCATCCTCTATCTTCACCCAAAAAACAAAGAATGCCCCCAGCTGATGGGAGTTGATCGTTTCCACGAGTTACCAAGCTTCAGATCCATGACACATAGGGCGGCTGAACTCGCCCAGAAAGATCTCAGGCCACAGAGTATCTTGTGGCTAAAGGACATCAGAGCCTGGACTGAGTCACCCACTGAGCAGGAAAGGTGGGCAGAGAGGGGTGTGTCTGACAGGTGAGGACAGAGGTGAGGACAGAGCAGAAGTGTGATGTATGGCCAGTGCCTGTGGCCTCTACCAGGAACAGTCCTGGGAAGGAGAGTGTCTCCCTGGACATTTGTCTCCAAGGCAGGACCAGCAGAAGGGTCGTCACTGAATGAGAAATGACTGCCAGACTCTGGCCACCACTGGCTATAGGACAAGAGCAGCCCCGATGGGACCCACACACTGCCAGCCACAGGGAGCATGATCCCATGTACCACATTGCCCTGTGCACATGGCACATGGTACACGGCACTCTGCTCCGAGGGCAGAAAGGGGAGCAAAGGGAGAGGGAGGAAGTGTGAGCAGGAGCCCAGGGAGATACGGGGGAGAGGCAATTTCAGGCACCTGGCAGATTTGGGGCACTGAGTGGGATTGAGTGCAGTGATTTCAGAGCACGTGTGCATTGGTTACATACTCCTGATAAACAGTGCCGATCACAGAATGGATGCATGCGCTTCTGTGTGAGATGATTGTGCAAAAACCCCAAGTCTGTCACCAGGAGGGTCTTGGGAACAGAGGCTCCCAATGGTGGACAGAGAGCAGGACCCAGGTCAGACAGATGCAGCCACCTCCTGCTGGAATGGATTCTTCAGAACATCTGTTCTCTGGTAGCAGAGTGGCTGCAAGCTTGAACGGAAACGGCATGACATCCTCTCGGGTCACGCTCAACATGCATTTCCCCACAAGGACTCAAAAGTTAGCCTGGCTGCTCGCTGCGTGCCAATGACAGCAGAGCCATGAGAGCCTGCCACGCTGCAGCCCTGGGTGTTGAGCTTCACAGGCAGCATTGCCTGCCACCCCCACCATTGCACAGGCGAGGCGCCGAGGTTCACAATGTCTAAGTGACTTGTCCAAGATGACAGCGCTCAGATGCGACCGGCTGAGGGTTGAAATCCAGGGCCACACGACCCCAAAGTTGATGTCAGGCAATAAAGTGAGTTACCGAAGTTGGAGAGGGTCATGTCACAAGGATGTCTGTTGTTTTAGGCTGTCTAGCACCTGTACCTCTGGTAACAGCACCTGACTTTCCCTGGAGAACCTCCCTCTGTCTGTCCCTCCTAGTGCCAGCTCACTAACTGGGCAGACCCCATGCCCAGGCTTCCGGGACAAGCCTGGCCTATGACAGCCGTGTCTCCCTGGCCCCAGTGACGGGCTCAGGGAAGAGCAAGAAACCATGGGAAATGAATCAGAAGCTGGAATTCTACAGGAACTACTGAGTGAAGGAACAGATGGGATGCAAAGAACGTGCTTCTCGACCCCTCGTCTGAGAAATGAAATGAGCACAGGGTCCTGGCATAACCCAGAGCCAGGGGATAATGGCCCCTAATGCTGACAGGAGCAAAACACTGGGGATGACCTGTGGGATGATGAGTTCAGAGAGGGGCAAGTAGGAAGAGGCCAGCTGAGCAATCCCTCCCCCTCTGTGCTGTGACAGCCCCAGCTGTCCCATGGGAGCCAGCACAGCCAATGACAAGATCTGGGCTCGACAACCAGTAAACCTGAGCCACACATCTGTCCTGTGGGGTTTGTCCTGAGCCACCTCCCTAGATCTCAAAGCACAAAAGACAGAACTTGCATTAGGCTTCATTCTTTCATCTGTTTAGCAAATGTTTATTGAGGGTCTGCACTATACCAGGCACTGTGCTACCCACTTTAAATGGTTTTGATCGGGACCAAGGGGTACAGAGGGAGAAGCAGAGAGGATGGGGGGGCGGGGTTTGAGGCTGGTCAGGGAAGCCCACACATCCAAGTCCTGGGACTGCAGAGGCCTAGCACCCTAGCTGCTCATCCCAGTTGGACACTGGCCATGTTCACAATGCCTGTTCTGAGGGCACTTTCAACACGGCCCGGCCAGGAAAGGGGCTTTCACATGCCACTGGGAGATGGAAAAGGAAAGAGGGTCCCAGAGCAAGCCCCTGGGTGAAAGGAGCAGAGCCACACTCCTGGACCTCCGCCAGGCACTGGGAGCTTCCCAAGCTCCCACTTATCTTTTGAATCCTGAATTGGAAGAAGGCAGATAAGACAGCCCTTGTGAGTGACATCTGAACCCTCACTGCTTCGTGAACTCTGCCTTCCAAGTGGACAGGAAAGGGCTGGCTACAATGGTCACTGTAACAAGAAGGGGGAGCACTTGAGGGCAAAGAAGGGTCAACCAGTGACCAGCTTTGCCTCAGATCAGTACCCACGAGCCACAGGGGTCACCATGGGGACAAAGCCCAACCAGGGCACAGTGTTGCCCCTTCAAGTTCCCACCTTGGGCAGGAGGTGGGAAAGTAAGAGGGAGGGACGAGGAAGGTCAGAGAAGGCTTGAGGCCAGATGAAGGAAGCAGGGAGATGGAGTGGCTTCCATCTAAGGGTGGTTTCTCCATGCACCTTCAAGTCTGTCTAAGAGACTCTGAGCTGGTGCTGAGAGACAGAAATGTTTCTGGGACAGAAAATAAAAAGTTGGTATTGGGCTCCCAAAAAGGACATGGGGCAAGACACAAGCTACAGGAAGGTGGTCCTGGCCACATGGCAGCCATGTGGCCACAGGGGGTAGGACTCAGAGCCATAGGAAAGCCAAATAGCAGGGCAGGGAGATGCGACTCTGGACTGGGCCACAGATGCCCCTTAATGGCAGAGCAGCTTTGGTCCAGAGTGGGGAAGAGCTGCAGGAACTCGAGGAGGGAGCCTCCAGGAGAGCTGTGGAGCGGGGGCTCACCCGCAGCTGGACCTCCATCAGTTACTCTGCTCCCACTCGCTCCAAAAGGGTGGGGAGAGCAGCAGCCCTGACACTTTAGATCCCGAGCGAGCCTCCTGCCTCAGACAGACGAAGCAAGGCCAGATGAAGGACGGAGAGGTAGACGGAGGACAGGCAGGGGTGGGACAGAGGGAACCATGATGGACAAGAGGCAGACAGGGAGGCCCGTGAACATGGGATAGGACCCTCCCCAGCTGCCCTGCTCACCGAGCTGCCGCGATGGGCGACTTCTTAGAAGGGTCCAGCAGGCCGCCTAGGCCACTGGCTGGCTCCTCCCCCAGGGAGCGTGTGTCTTTGTTCAGCTGCTGCAGGCGGGAGCTGAGCTCACTTATCACAGTTGGTTTGTCGTCTTCAGGCCCAGGGAGCCCCCGGCTCTCCAGGGGGTCCCCCCACAGCTTGGACCTTCTCTGGAAGAGGTAGCGAGGGCGAGCAGGCCCAGCAGCAGAGGCCAGCCCGGCGGAGGCGGCAAGGTGCTGCTGGGCCATGAGCTCACTGTCCGAGGACTGCTTCAGTAGAGGGTCCCTGAAGGTCACCGGCCCCTTCCCCAGCGGGGACTTGAGCTTGGGCTTGGGAGGCACTGGTGGCTTCTCGAGTAGAAAAGTGTGTCCATCAGCGAAGGAGGTGTGGGTGTCGGTGAGCTCCCCGCTCTCGGAGCTCAGAGTGGACATGCTGGACACTGTGGAGATGGTGCTTGTGGTCTCCAGGTGGGGGTCGCTGGAACTGCGTGTGTCCACCTCCTCCACTCCAGAGTCAGCTGCAGACTCAGGGGCAGGGGGCAGCTCACTACTTGCCTTCCCTGAGGCCGGGCCTGGCACTGTAGTGGGTGAGGGACTTGGGCCAGGCAGTGGGGTGGCCAGAAGGAGCCCATTGGCAAACTCTTCGGGGGGTGGCACCAGCCCGATACGAGCCAGTTCCTCTCTGGTCTCCTCGTCGCTAGAGGACAGCTGGGCGGGAGGCAGGTTCACTGTAAAGACCAGCTCTGGCTCCTCCTCGGAGCTGCCCTGGCCTGGCCCAGGGTCTTTTGGGGCACTGCCAGGGGGCTGCACCCGTGGGCTGGGCAGGGGCTCTGCCACAACGGCTGACTGTGTGGGTGCAGGGGCCAGCTCCGGGGTGCCTGCGCGCTCCTCTTCAGCCCCCAGCCCCCTGGGCTCCTGCCCGTTGCTGGTGGCGTGGACCACAATGAGGCCGGCGGGCCGCTGCAGGGACGTGTCCAGGACGCTGAGAATCATGGACTTCTTGTCCTCAGGTGACTTCCGCTCCTCTCGGGAGGCCTTCTCGGGCTCCCTGCGGGCAGGCACAGGAACCCAGGCGGGGCTCCTGGGGGAGAAGGCCGGGGAGGCCAGGGCTCCTCGCTCCGAGTCGCGGGCTTGAACATCCACAAACAGGGGCCCAGCCCGGTCGGCATCAGGGCTGTGCACAGGTGTGGGGGACCGGGAGGGCGTCTGGGAGGCCAGCGCCCGCTCCCGGGCAGCCAGCGCCAGGGCCAGGGGCGAGCTGGGGTCCAAGGGTTTGCCGGTGAGCGGGTGGATGAAGGTGGAGCCGGAAGGCCCAAGGCTCGGGCCGCTGACCAACGGCTTCAAAGCAGAGACTGGGGAGGGCAGCAGGAGGTCACGGCCGGTGGCGGCACTGGCCCCTAGGAGCCGCTCATCGATGGAATGGGAGGGCTGCAGGGACGGCAGGTCGGCGCTGGGAGGGCTGCCCTCGATGGCGCCCACCGACAGGAACACGGTGGACCGGCGCCGCTCCTCCAGCCGCCGGTCCTTGGCCGGGCCCGGGCCTCCAAATGCCAGCCCGCTGTCCCCAGGGCTGTAGTCGAGGCCACCAGGCCGAGGCCCGCGGTGCGTCGGGGAGGGATCGCGCGTGAAGGTGCCGCCCCCCGGGCCCGGGCTGCCCACGGCCAGGCCTGCGCGCTCCTGGGCCTCCTCCACCTGCAGCTGCTTCACCAGCGGACTCTTGCGGCGCTGGGGCTTGGACGGTGTGAAGAGGCTGGCGCTGAAGGCGCCCAGGTTTGCGTAGGGGCTGTCGGGGTCCGGAGGCCGGGGCCGGCGCTTGGGGCGCTCTGGCGGGGTGGCCGCGGGCGGGGGCCGAGCAGCGTCGCCCGCCTCCGGGGCCGAGTCCTGCAGGATGATCATGGAGCGCGCGCGCTTCTGCCGCTCGGGGTAGGGCATCTGGCCCAGGGCCGCGCCCGCCTCGTACAGGCCTGCGGCGCCGGCACCCAGACGCGCTTCTAGGCCCGGTTTGAAGCTGGAGCGCACCGTGTCATAAGCCCGGCCTGGCGGGGGCGGCGGCGAGAAGGCAGGGGGCGCCCCTGAGTCGAAATAATAGGGCGCGGGTGGGGGCGGCGGCGCAGTCTGCGGCGGGGGCGGGATGCCACGGCCCTCGCGCCCAGAGTCTTGCATCGACGTGCTCCGAGGGAAGCGCCCCTCCAGCAGGGATGCCAGCTTCTCATCCTCCCCTGCGGACAGAGGGCCCCGTGAGACCGGCCAGGCGCTGGGAGCCGGAGACTTCAGGGAGGGCCCTTGGGCCCCAGCTCCTGCCCTTGGCAGAGGCCACCCAGTCCTTTCACCCCAGGGCAGCCAGTGTCCCCCTCCCCCCTATCTTAGAACTCAGCGGCAGGTGCTAGCTCCACCAGGGGATGGGGTCAGGACTGGCACTGGTTTGGGGATTGGCCAGCAGGGGAGACTCTGGGAGCCCAAAGCAGAGCATCTGAGCAAGGCCCGGGATCTGCACCCCAATACCATTGCCAATTTCGAGGGGGAGGTTCTTATGAAGAGGAGTCAGTTCAGATATAGGGTAGAGGGGGGCCTGGAGAAAGTACCCAATCTCTGACCATGCAACTTAGGGCCAAGATCTGCCCCAAACCTGAGGCAAGAAGGGGCTCAAATGAGACACTGCAGGAGGGTAGGGGCAGCCCCCTAGTAATGGGTGGGAGGGTGCCAGGGTGCAGGGCTTCCCACCGAATCTGATCACAGCTCAGATCCACAGTCTGCAACCTGCAGATTTCCGCGAGGGCCTGGGATCAGCCAGAGGCAGACAAAGGGGTACTTTCTGAGCAGGAAGGATCCACTGCAGACACAGGGACAGAAGGGCTGTGGCCAGGGAAGCCACGCCTCTGGCAGGGAGACAGCTGATGCCCAGGTAAGGCGGTGCCTGGTGCCTGTCCAGTCCAGGGCCAAGTAGATGGAGTGGACTGAGAGGCTGCCAGTCACTGGAAGGGCAGGAGGGAGGATGGAAATGGAACTGCAGGCTGACCACCCCACATGTTTCTGTTTTACTCCCTGCTCGCTGTGCAACCCCAGGCCAAGCCCTGAGCCCCTCTGAGCTTCAGTTCTCTCCTGAGCAATACACACTCTAAAATAAACCCCACTCTGCCTGCCTCGGTCATAGTTCGGACCCAAGCAAGGGCAGGTGAGAGTGCTCAGGGCCCGCATCTCCCTGCTGCCCACCTGCAGACTGGCAGGGCCTCCTTGTGGGCACCATGTGGACACCTGTGCTGCTGGTGTCCACGGCTCAGTCCAAGGAAAGTGCATTAATGGCTCTCATGTCAACACACACAAGTCTCTCATGGAGTGCCTTTTGGGGATCTGCCACCTGGCCTCCCTCTGGACTGGGTGATATTTTTATGAACTCACCAAGATGCCTCTTGCCTGTCCCAACCGCCTCCCCTGTTGGCCAGTCAGCACTCGCACCAGGCCACCTACACCGGTTTGCTTCTTGACCTGCCTAACAGCTCTCGTACCCCTGGCTCAGCACGGGTGAACTTTTGTGTAAAAAGGCCTTACTGTCTGTGTCTTTTAACCTCTCAGCACTTCAGTTTCCTCATCTCAGGGGCACTGTCCTCCCTCTCCCTCCCCCATTGTGGGCCTGAGTGAGGTGGAGCCATTTTGAGCTCACAGCACAGGGCTAAGCACCTAGAAAGGACCCAGAGGGGACCCAGGCTGTCGTCGTCATCATTTCAGGTCTGCCTTCCACCCCCTGAACAGGAACACAGTATATAAACACCCACCGCCCGTGGGTGACATGGGTACACAGGTAAAGTCAGTGTCCCTAGAAGCTGCAGGGGGTGTGGTGTGCCAAGTTCTAACGTCAGGTGAGCTCAAGTCCCTTGCGTTGGGATGAAATGAGGAATCTGTTCTGATGCCATCTTGGGTGGGCAGTCTTCTGCCCAGATAGCAGCAGCGAGCATTGCCCCAGCATTTGAGTGCCGCCCCCAAATGCTAGACCAACACCACCGAGCACAAGCAGTGGCCCAGTGTTCAGCTCAGTGCAGCCCCTGCGGGAGTCTCAGAGCGGCCCTTGGAGGTGGGCAGGTGCTAGGTGGTCCCCACATTTCCACCCTGAGGTTTCAAGGATTGGACTGTGTGCCCAGTGCCACACACCCAGGACAAGGGGTGGGTACTCCAAGGAGTCTGGTAACTTGTTCGGCAGGCCAAGGAGAGGGATCAAAGATGAGCAACTTTTGCCCTGGCTGTTGTTGCTAAGTGGTTATAGCACTGGCCTACGTACCAAAAGATCTCGGGTTCAATTCCCAACCAAGGGCACATGTCTGGGTTGCAGGCTGGAGCAGCCAATCGATGTGTCGCTCTCACATCTCTCCTCCCCCCTCCCCCGCTTCCTCCCACTTTCTCTGAAAATCAATGGAAAAAATACTGGGATGAGGATAAAACAAAATGATGAGCCCCTCTTAGCTCATTCATGGCCAGAGCACTAGAAGGTCTGAGAGGGTGGGTGGGAAAGAGCTGCTATCCGCATCTGGGCTTATGTCCCAATGGGCAGGCACTTGGATCTGTACCCTTCTGTCCTGGAACAGCCTCTGGCAGAGCAGCTGAGGGACAGCCTCTGGTAGAGTGAGGTCAGGTGGAGAATAGTGCTTCTGGCAGGCCCAGGTCAGAGGGAGGCAGAGACAGAAGGCCCCGGATGAAGCAGGAGAGGGCCGGGGCCGGTCCCCAAGACCCAAGGCAACTGGAAGCCCACAGAGGGTCAACTACAGGATGAGGCGTGATTTCTGCTCTGTAGAAGCCCTCCCCCCCGACCTGTGGGTGGAGCTGGGGAGGGAGGTCTGAAGGACACCAAAGCTGTGGTCCAAGAGCAAGACACTGAGGCCCAGCCAGGCAAGGCTACAAAGCTGGTGAGGAGTCAGGCAAGAGGCATTTGAGGAGGCAGTGAACCCCTAATTTGTCAGGGGAAGCAGAGAATAAGGAGGAAGCCATGGAAGACTCCCAGGGCTTAGGCCAGTGGGGGGAGGGAAGTACCACAAGCCACTCCAATGTGGCTGCAGTCTCACCGATCCTCTTCCTCCCCTTCCCCCTACAGAAAAGACCTGCAGCAGTCCCTGTAGGACCATGCCACCAATGAGGATGGCCTTTATCAGTAACTCACCACATGATCTCCTAGAAACTCCCACTCATCCTACATTCCAAACTCAGATATGCCTCTTAGCCTGCGGACACCCAGGTGTGGCTGGTACCCCTAGTTGTCTCTCAATGGACATGCTCCTTCATACTCACCACAACTGCCAAACTGAGTTGTCTATACCTCCCCCAACTGAGCCCCTACACCTGGCCCAGGGTCATCCTAGAGTGGGCATCAATCATCAGAAGTCCTAGTGTGAATGAGGGATTGGGGTTTGGGCAGCTGATTGGCCAGATGGGTGGACAGAAGACAGACAGGTAAGGCAGCTGTGTGACCCTGGGCAAGTCACTTGGCCTGTTTGCCTCAATTTTGTCATCGTCGGTAACACAGGTACTATAGTGTTACCTCCTCAGGGTTCCTCTAAGGACTATGTGTGGCAGTGAGCATAAGCAGTGTTGGTGTGACTGCTGAAGGGGAATTTACTGGTTAACACATGATAGGTGTGGTAAGGTGTACATGGACAGATAGATGGGCAAGTGGACAGGTCTAGGGGTAGATGGATGGACAGGTGAGCAGAAGAGGGCACTGGATGCCTAAAACAGTGGTTGGCAAACTCATTAGTCAACCACTGGCCTAGAAGGATGAGCAGCAGGTAGGGCTTGTCAGATAACCAGGCCTACGGTCAAAAGAGAACATGGCCAAGTGTGGGGCATGACACTGGCTGGAATGTGATGTCCCGTGGAAACAGGTGCAGAGGCAGGGAGACCAAGGACACGGCCTTGAGAAAGCTACATGGTGATGTGGTGTGGTCTGCTCCTGGGGGAGGACAGAAGGAACCACGTTGGTGTGTGTGGGGCTGGGAGAAGCCTGAACAGCAGCTGCGAAGTGTCCTACAACTGGGAGAAGAGTTACATGGACAGGGGCCAGGAAAATCAACTGCGATTTGAGGTCCAAAAGAGAGGGCTGATCACGTGCGCCAGGAGGAACGCCCTGGGAAACACTGGTGACCATGATTTGAGCAACTTCAATTTTAGGTACAGAGCAGCCTTCCCCAGGCTGCAGGCAGGAAACAGAAGACAGTAAGTACAGGTGACTTTGGAGCAATGGACTGTGAAGGAAAGGAGAGGTATTGAAGAATAGCTGGGGTTTGGGGTAGGAGCAGGTTCAAAGGGAGGGCAGTTTTAGGACCAGAAATATGACATGTACTCAGGCATCCAGTATATAAGACAAGGCCCAGCAAATAAGACAAGATGGGTGGGAGCCGTGGATTTGGGGGAGAGGTACCCACTGGACAGGAAGCCGTAGATGGGTGTGGGGGAGAGTCTCAAAGGGCTGTTTTAGTAGGGTATCTCTGGGTTTGCTGAAGGACTGACCTTCCCCCACACCCAAAATATGTCCACATATGAGATCCCTGGGCTGGAGCCAGGGAGAGGCAGGACTCAGAAGGGAACTGAAAACCCAGTTGAAGGTGGAGAGAGAGGGCCCTCCAGCCCTGTGTCCACCCGGCCCCATCCCCCCCGGCCCCGTGCAGACCCCAGCCCGGCCGTACCTACAGACTTGGTCCGTGGAATCCCCTTCCGCAGGGAGCCCGGCAGCTTCTCTGGGCCTGGGAGGCCCTGGCGCTCAAACAGTGACTGTGGGAGTCGGGATGGTACATGGAGGTTCTGCCCACACTCTTCCTAAGCCTCAGCTCACCATGCACTGTCCAGCGTGCTGGTGCCCAGGCACCTGCCTCCATAGCAGGGCCCGGCAGCAGGGCCTGGGCAGAGCATTGGGCAGGTTGATGCCAAGGTGGCTGGAGCAGACAGCAACCCTGGATGTGGCCCAGGGGGTGCCCAGTAGGAGGAGTGGGCCAGGAGACTAAGACACAGTATGTGGCAGGAACAGGGCTGGCACAGAACCTGCCTAAGGAACTGAAAGCCACTCAGCACGTGGTCAACTGTAGCCATTCTGGGGTGGCCCCAACTGTCTCCAGGAGCCTGGGGGAACTTCACAACAGTTCCTAGAGTGTGGGATCCACTAGAGTGTGGGATCCAAATGGTGGACCCACCCCAGAAAATGTGCAAGCACCCATGCTCCACCCAGCCTTCAGCCCACACCCACACTCAGCCACCCAGCAGCTTACACTGATCTCGGCCGGGGTGATCCTCCGGCTGGTAGGCCGCTGTTTGACGGTGGCTGCTCTTGAGTCAGCATCCGCGATGTCAGGCCTCAGTGTGGGCTCCGCGGCGGCCGCCAGGATCTCATCTAGTTTCTCTGCACAGCCAAGAAAGAGTCTTCTCAGCCACCATGACCTTAAGCAGCCTCAACGTTCTGTCTTCCCCACAAGGCTGGTCCATCCCGTGCTGAGCCCACCTCAGACATCTTACTCCCCAGGGCTGCTTCAAGACCTGGGATGAAGGTCCTCACACCAGAACCCAGGTTCTGCACCAGCCTGCCTCTCCACCCTCGGGGAGGCTCCAGGGCACCCTAGAGATCCCACTCCAGGAAAAGGCCAACTGACCCTTAGAGGGAAGACCCAGACACATTGCTGAGAGCCCAGGGTCTCCCAAGATTCTGTGTCCTTTGCCTTTCACTTTTCTCCTCGGCACAAGGCATCACCGTCCAGGCCCCAGCGCACAGGACAGACCTAGAGTCCAGCAGGTGCCCACGAAAGATGCAAATCAATAAAGAATAAAAGAAAACAGCTGACTGCCCCAGGCTGCTCAATAAGCCAAAGAACCTCCATCCAGGTGGGAGGTGCCAAGAAGAGGGTGTGGGGGACAGTTGGGAGGGACAAGGGCTGAACAAGGCCAGGGGTAAAGACACTGGGAGGCCTTCTCAAATCTGCTGTTAAAAAAAAAAAAAAAAAGCTGTTTGTTTTCATTAAAGCTGGTTGATGATTTTAAAAGTGTTGTTTTTTATGAACAACATGACTTGGAAGTTTTGTTAAACAAATGCGAGTATCTGAGAGCTATCAGGTCCAGCTAGAGATGGATGGGTCCAGTTGAGGCCAGCTACAGGGTGCAGCAGGATGCCTACCTGCTGCCAGAGGACTCTCTCGTTCAGGAAACCTGCCCAATCCATCCTTCACTCAGGTTCCAAATCCCACCCTCCCAACCCAGGGGCTGAGCCAACTCTAGAGGCCCATGTGTCAAGTCACCCAAGTGCCCCACGTGGAAGAACATCTGGGTTCAGACTTGACACCTACCAGCACCTGCCGTCCCATCTCTGCATCCGCCCACCATCACCGTGCAAAGTAGATAAACTCCTGAGATGTCCGGTACCCAACCCAGACCAGACCCACCCTGTACACTCACTTTCCTGAGGTAAATTCTTTATGACTCAGATGAAACAGCACACAAGCGGCACCTACCTCAGTGTTGTGAGAACTAGCACATACATAGAGGTACCACCACTGTGCCGGCTCTGAGCAGGCACCAAGCACCGAGCACATGTTTGCTACAATCAGCTCCATAAGCTGCCCTGCAGCCCAGGGCACACAGCCTGGCCCTGACACGGGAGCTCCACCAGTTTGAATTCACCCAGGCCCAGGTGCAGACCAGAGAGGCCCGTTAGAGGCCCCTTGTTTATTTTGTAATGAGGTGAATGCCTTCCCTTTGGAGCTGAGACCATTTAGGTCCCAGGCGATTTCCAGAGTGGGAAGTGCTTCACCTCTCGTTCCACAACAACCACAGGAAAATATTGTTACTGCCCCCATTCTATCCAAGAAGAAACCGAAGCTCTGAGAGATAAATTGCCCAGATCACAGACCCAGTAAGTGAAAGGTCAGACTTAGCTACCAGGCTGCCCAGAAGCCACAGACAAAAAGACAGGTGTGGAGAGAAACACGTCCATGGGAATCACAGGACACGTGCTCACCTGAGCTATGAATTTAGAGGCCACTTGTCCAGGCCCAGAACTCACCTGAGACCCAACGCTACATGCCAACAAGGTGGGCCACAGGACTGGGCCAGACAAGATTTATTTTCAAAATGGAAAGAATAAAAAATTCTGCAGACTACAAGCAAGTGAGATGGACACCAATCCCCAACACAATTAGAAAATGTAGCCGAAACCAGTTTGGCTCAGTGGATAGAGCATCGACTTGCGGACTGAAGGGTCCTGGGTTCGATTCTGGCCAAGGGCATATGCCTTGGTTGCGGGCACATACCCAGAAGGGGGTGTGCAAGAGGCAGCTGATCGATGTTTCTCTCTCATCGATGTTTCTAACTCTCTATCCCTCTCTCTTCCTCTCTGTAAAAAATCAATAAAATATATTTTTTTAAATTAGAAAGTGTATTCTTATAGCATTTCAGACATTTAGATAAGGAAATGAAACCCATTAGGAAGTGGGTCTGGGTCCCTGGAGTGCCTCCCTGTCTCCCCACCACCACCACCAGCCTCACGCACACACACCTGTCATGGGGCCGGGGGCTGGATGTGGCTGTTTGAACAAGCAGGGCCTGCAGGGGTGATGAATCGCCATCACTGCCCCTACAACTGGAGGCAGTGCACAGGCCACAGCACAGCTCCCTGGGAGCCCTTCTAATGAGCTGAGCACAGAACCGATGTGCTCCAGAAATAGTTTGCATGTCGGCCTCAAGGTGTGCACAAAAGTGTTCACCGAGGAGACTCCATCACCTGTTTTAATGGCTGAAAGATGCCCGGGAAAGCACTTATTGGGACTGGAGAAGGGGCGGTGAGAGCTCAGAGGGCCAGGCTGCAGAATGTGCTGGAGAGTGTGTGCTGCAGATGTGTGCTGGCACAAGAAAGGCCCAAGGGACCCAGAGTGAGGGCCAGTGAGGACTGGTAACATGGACAATGAGAGGCCACAGAGCCACCTCTGGCTTCTCGTGGCCTGGATTCCTGTTTACCCATAGGTGGGAAAAGCTGGAAGAGGCCAGGTCCTGAGTGCCCAGGCCCAGACTCAGTTCCCATATGGATGCTGTGTCCCTCGAAACCAGGCCCGACATACAGGGAGGAGCCTCAGAGGATGTGGCAGATGAAGTCTGAAGGTAGCAGCAAGGGGTGGGGAAGCCAACAGCTGGGCGATGCTGGGGTGGGAGCGCCAGGCTGACTTCCCAGTGCTGTGGGCCCAGACTCATGCTCTAATGGACTGTCAGCACTGGGCTTGACCAATAAACAAATCAGCACAGAAACAGCACCCACACACCAGGCACATGGAAGCCCCCAGAGCAGACAGAAAGAAGCAACCTCAGCCAAGTCAAGCACTGGCCACTCCCACCCCCAACAGGCCACGGCTGGGTCCTGAACCCGCCCTTCCTGGCTCCCGGCCTCCACTCTGGGGGCTCCCAGCTCTGCCTCACCAGGCCACCTCAGCTCACCTGAGCTACAAGACCCGTGTCCAAGCCTGTCACATCCCCAGGTGACCCCTGCTGGGTCCTTCTACTGTGCCCCACCAGATCCCAGTGAAAAGGCCATCAGGAGGGAACAGTCCAGGCCTCCAGACCACCCTGAGTGAACTGGAACCTCCTCATACACCAGCACTTCCCTGGACAGGGGTCAGGCGAAGCTGTGGCCCTGGGGACACAGCAGATGACTCACCCCCTTTCCTTCTCCGAATGGAGGCTTGGAATCAAGAAACAGAGCAAAGGGGGTAAGAGGCAGGCTTCATCCTCAGCACCTGGGTCCCATTCCCCACTCCCTTTGCCCCACCTCTCTTCTCCTAACCCTTCTAACAACCAGGACCTCCCAGATCCCCACAACCCCTGACCTACACTCCCTACCAGACCAGAGGGGCAAATACAATACGTCCAATGCCAAGTTGGTTCACAGCCTGAAACTCAAGGCAGAAACAACCACAAGCAGAAACATATGCTTTTGTGTGCATGCACACACACATTTATAGTCCACTCACACATGTACACATGATGTCCAAGCAGGTCCACTCATACCCATGCACACACTTGTATGTGCCTACACACATGATGCTCACACACATTTGTGCACACACACATACATCAACTCACACCTGAGCACACATTTGTGCATGCCCACTCACACACAAGTTCACACATAACGGCCACACACATGCTTTTACATGTCTCGATCACACACATGCTTGTGCCCATCCACACATGCTTATACACTCACTTGTGTATGTCCCTCACATGCATGTTCACACACACGCTTGTGCAGACCCACTCACACACGGTATGCACATGCTGTGTAAGTCCCCACACATCCACTCACACATGTGCACACAAAAAAGCTCATGCACATCCACACACACATGCACACACATGTGGAGACGTTCACAGACAAGTAAATCAAATTTTTTTAGAGAAAGGGCAAAATCCCATAAAAACCAAGTTTGGAGGTCACTGATAGCGATAATGGTTGCCCTGAAGCATTCTGCAAAGTGTTTCCAACGAAGGGCAGGCCAGCCAGAGACTGCACACTGGCATGGCACCTGTCCCCACGTTCTCATCACAGAGGAAAAAAGACCAGAAGACTTACCAAGAGAAAGTGGGAGGGGACTCAGACCTCCAGGGCCCTCCCAGGTCTGGGTCTCCACTGACCTCTGCAGCCCCAGCATGCCCTTGGCTCTTGCTGAGGAGATGAGCATATGGGGACCCCAATGCATACTTGCCTAAGAGCACTGGGGGTGTCCTGCCCTTCCTTCTACCACAAGCCCCTTCCTCCCTGCTCTGTTTCTGCCAGTCCTCAACCATTCAGGGCTTTGCTTCTCCCCCACACTCTATGAGCCCCCACCCTTGCCACCTGCTTTTTTTGTCACCTCACATCTTCCTTTCTTCCCAGCTATTTAGGTCATCTTCTCGGTAGACCACAGGGACCCTAAATGGTCCGATCAGTTCTCAACAGTGTGACAAAGAACTGATATGTTACTACTGGCAGTGAGCCAACAGGCCTGATTTCTATCTTTTGAAAGCACCAACACTGGACCATAGCTGAGCTCTGTAGTACTTGGGAAGACCCTGATGCCGGCCTGGCTTCTTCAAACCAGGTATTTCTAGAGGTCAGCACCTGCACTGGCTTCCCAGGACAGCTGTCCTCTGGGGGCAGAATGGCTTCTCCTGCAAACGGTGGGGGGGAGCCTGTGTCCAGCTTCAACCAAAGCTGTGACCCCTCAGTGAGCAGTGGACAGAGGCTCTGTGCTAAGCTGTTCCTTCCTCATCCTTCCTGAAACTCTGCTCTGAAAAACTGGATTAAGATCATGCCAACCTGAGGCTTCAGGAGCGAGCCCCTGGAAGATGAGGGTCACACAGCAGCAAAGGGAAAGCCCTGGACTAGAGCAGAGAGGAGGGAGGATCTGCTGTTCAAGGGTTTCTTCACACAGAGCAGCCCCTGGAGCCTGGATTACAGATCTAGGGCTGCCCAAGAACCTCTTCATGCAGCATTGGGGGCTCCCTTCTGAACATGCTGCTGAGCATGGCTGGGTAACAGCCTTTGGAAGGAGACCAGAGCCTCGATATGGTGTCTAGCCAGACCCAGATGCCTAGGGATTTTGGTTCATTGCTCAGTTTGTACCTTCAATCAGTGTAGCAGATCAATTCCCCATGAGTTACCTGCTTGTGACCCTGAGGCCAGAAGTCTGCTAGCTTCCCTGATGCTCTCTTGAATGAGTGGGTTTAGCAGGAAATAGAATTCTAGGTGGAAAAGCATTTTCACACAAAACTCTGAAGTTATCCCATCATCTAGAAGCTACTATTGCTGATCATAAGTCAGCTGTTGGTCTTGCCGTCCTTCCTAAGTCATCCAGCTTCTTTCTCTAAAGGTTATAATTTTTCTTTTTGTCTAGGGTGCAGTGAAGTTTTACTATGACAAGTCTACATGTATAGATTTATTTTATATTTCCTTGCTTGGGACTTACACTTCTTTAAACTAGAATCTTGTCTCCTTTTTCAATTTTGAAAATTATCAACCATTTACTTTTCAAATTTGCCTCTTCCCCGAAGTTTTTATTCTTTCGTGTCTCATCTGCCCAGTGATAGTTTATCTCCTTGTCTCCTGTGCTGCATTTTAGGTGATCTCCTCAGATTTATCTTCTAACTCACTGTTTTCTTCTTCAGCTGGGTCTATGAATCCTGCCACTCTGAGGAATCCTGTTCATCCCAGAGAATTTTTAGTTTCAGTGCCTACATTTTTTGTTTCAATAACAGTTTTTTAGGGATCCTTTTAAAATCTTTTTCTTTTTTCTTTTTTTCTTTTGGTACTGTCCTGTTCTTTCACTATGAATTCTGTTATTTCTCTTAAACTCTGTCTTTAAACACATTATTTTTTCTCTTTCATATTCTTCTATGATTTTTCCAATGCTAATCCCAATTCTTGGGTGTGGTTCCAGCTTTGGGTCCACAAACATATCTCTTGGCTTTGTGGGGGCATCAGAGCCTCACCCCTTGCCCTGGGAATCTACATCCTATCCCAAGCTGTCACGGACTCTGGCAGCATCAGCTTCCTCTCCCTTTTGGCTTTGGATTTCTTTCTTCAGTTTTGAGACCTGGGGAATTCCTAATCTTTTGTTTCAAGTTGGCTATGTGTTTTTAAGTTTTTATTTTATTCATAATATTCATGGGGAAGGAAAATCCTATGTCAGTTCAGTTGATCTTGGTGGCTGACCTCCAGGATAAACTACAGTCAAGAGCACCAGCTTGCACAGTGTGGCTCAGCCCATGACCAGGAAGGGCTCAAGGCTCAGTCAATGACTCAGGTCAGGAATAACTTTAGGGGACAGGTAGGGTTCTTTCTATGGCTAGGGAGGAACCAAGCCTAAGCCAGGATTGAAGCTCAGTCTAGAATCAGGATCAGAGTCAGGACTGGGTTAGGTCCTGGCTGAAGCCAGGGCAAAATCTGTGACTAGACTGGGTTTAGACTGTAGAAGGACAGAGCACATTAACAGTCATGTGACTAGAACACGTTCATGATGAGGACACTGATGGTCACGAATATTAGGACATGGCTTCGCATATCTGGACACATCTATAAAGAGGCTATTAACAGTCACATATCTTGACACATGTCCACAATGAGGTTACCAACATCACTCTGGGATCATGCCCACAACATGCCCCATCAAAGCCCTGACACACTCTTGTGTTGCTCCTTCAGCCCTCGAGGGCCTGCCCATCAATGAAGCAGTGAGGTACACACAGCCATGTTAGGTCAGCCACTCACTGTAATTACTCTGCTCAACTAGCAAGTGAGCCAGTGCTGAGAGGGTAAAATAGATGCAAAAGTCACACAGCCAGTGCCAGCAAAGCCCGGGCAGAGCCCAGGGCCTGGACTCCTGCCCTTTTCTCATGTGGGTGAAACAAAGGAATAAAGTCAGACCGGAGAGCCACAGGCAGCACATGCACACACATGCAGACACACTGGTGAGCCAGGCTCTGCTCCGCCACCATCTGGTGGTCCCATATCCATCTCCAGCCCTGTCACCCAGCCCCCCGGCCCTCATGCCATCCACATGTCTGCCCCTCATCACCCCACTATTCCAGTACCCACCCATTTACCTTAGACCTCTTCATATATCTGTCTGTCCTTCCTGCCCTCTCTCCCTCTGCCTGGCTTTGACCCCAGCTCACTCCGCCTGGCCACTCACCCTGGGCTGCCCGCAACCTCCCGCCCCCACTACTCACCAAGTTCCTCAAGCTCAGCCGTCATGGACTTGGAACGCAGGGTCAGTGTGGTGCTGGGGGCTCTCTTGGGGGGCTGTGGGGCTGCAAAGAAGAGGGAGGCCTTGGACCTCCTGTCCAGCAGCAGGCAGCGCGGCGTGGCCAGGTGCAAGTGCCACTTGCGCTCCACCGCCTGGATCTCCTCGTACTCCCGTGAGGACGTGTCACATTGTGCCAGGATCTTGTTCAGGCTGCGGCTGGACGCAAACTTCTTCATGGTGCTGGGAGCTCAGGGGGTGCTGAGGGCCAGGCTGGCCAGGGGCCTCAGGAGGTGGTCAAGAGCCCCAGGAGGGGTCAGGGTGCTGGCCAGCTCCAGCCTGAGTGCCCACCCTTTAGCCTCTGAAGGCTGAGCAAGGAGTGCCAGAGCCATGGCGTGGGGGTTGGGAGGGGCCCCCAGCAGGCAGGTCTCTAGCTGCTCCAGGGCTCTCCCAGGTCCTGGAGGCCGCTGCCCTTCAGAGGACTCTGGTGTGGTCAGCCAAGGCAGGGCCTGGGCTGGGCCCGGCCAACAAAGCCTCCTAGGCCCAGGCTGAACCGCGACATCACGCAGGGAGAAGACGCTCTTCCTCTTCCCTCAGGTGCCACCTCCCCCTTCCCTCCGACAATGAGCGGAAGGCAGCGTCAACCTCACAGTTGCTATGGCAACCCCGGCCTCCAGGCAGCTGCTGGCAGTGCAGGAAAGGAGGGCTCTTCCACACCAGGGGCTGGGGGATGCCAGGAAGCAGAGGGCGGGGATCTGAGGAGGGCAGCCTGTGGTCAGGGGTTACAGTCTGGAGGCCAGGAGGCCAGTCTAATAGCAAGGACTGGGAAAGCACCAAATTCACAAATGGGGCATTTCACTTGGGTTCAGACATTTGATGTCAGTAGTCTGGGGTCAGGGAATGGGCAGAGAAACATGGGTCTGGGGTCAAAGGTCTAAGGTCAGGAGCCAGAGGGGAGAGTCGGGGCACAGAGATCTGAAGCCTGACTCCTCACCTCTGCGCCGAGCCCCGTCTTCTTCGGGCTTCCTTGTCACCGACACAACCTTCATGACGAGACGGTTCCCGCCCTGGCGGATCAGCGCCACCACCTGCTTGTGTCCAACCTTCACCACGTTCACCCCGTTCACCTGGGACAGACAGGTAGGTGGGTGGGTGGGGTCCAGGTGTGTCCTCCTCAGAGCTCAGAGGTCAGCACCCACCTAGATGCACAGGTAAGGATGAGCCTCACCTCGATGAGGAAGTCTCCCGTGCGCAGCCCAGCCCTCCAGGCCACGCCCTCCACATCCACAGACTCGAGGTACTGAAGTGCAGGGAAGGCCGGTGTGGGGGTGAACTCCTCGATGGGGGTCTCTGCTGCAGGGGTGGGCGGGGCGTTAGGGAGGGGCTTCACTAGTGTGTCCAGGTGGAGGCGGCTGTCACACAGCAACAGCCCAAGAGTGGTGCAACCCGCTCAACAGATGAAACCAGGCAGAGCGCCCTGGGCTGGGCGGTGGGTAGGCACCACCCAGGACAAGAGCCAATTCGGGAATCCAGGGTGCATCGCTCTGAGGAACTCCCCTCTCACTCCCCCCAGAGAGGCCCCCACTGGGTCCGGCACACTAGAGCAGCAATCTTGGACGTCCACAAGGAGGAGGAGTCCCTGCCCTGTACTGAGACATCCAGACGGAGAGTACAGTCACAGCAGAGGGTCAAGGGGGCGGGGGGGCTGGATAGGGAACGGGGTGACACCAGGGGCAGGAGCAGGGGCAGGGAGGAGAGCAGAGGGGCAGAACAGAAGCCCCAAACAGTCAGCAGACCCTGCCAGCCTGACACCCCAGTCCCCAACCCTTCATTACCTTTGGCTCCCCGAAGCACAAAACCAAAACCCTCGTGGTCCCGTTTCTGCAGGATGGCCACCTTGTCATCAATGACATAATCGCTGGTGGAGGAAAGCAGGGATGGGGTGAGGAGAGGCCTAACACACTTGCCAAGCTGACTCTCACGCATGCCCCAAAAAGGTTCCCTCAGGCAGGACCCACCCTGGGGGGTTGCCCTTGGACTGACCTGGGAGGGCAGAAGACAAGGGGCTGGGCACCACCGCTCCCTCCTCCTTCCTCTTCACCCAGGCCTCTCCGGCCAGCTTTCAGCCTCCCTTTACATTTGACGTCCCACTCACATGCGTGCCCACCTGCCCACCTGCCCACCTGCCTGCGATACCTGTGAGAGGTGAGGCTGTCGTAGGAGCCCACTGTGTAGTGGCGGAAAAGTCGCTTCGTCCGGTCCTCCCGGGTTTCTGAGGGGAGTTTCAGTTGCTGAAGGAGGGTCATATCCTCCAAGTGGCCTGAACAGCCCCTCAACCACAGTGGTCACCAGCCTCTGCCCACACCCCCTGGCCTGGTTGTGCCACATGAAAGTGGGGGAGGGAGGCAAAATCAAGGTCAGAGGGGACCATGTGGGAAATTCTGGCCTCTGGGATCAGGTTTCAGAACAGGGCAGGGGCTGTGGGTCATCTCTCCGCCATGCACATGGCAGACTGGACAAGGCCAGGGCCATCCACAGAGAACCGGAGCCCGGAGCTACCAGCAAAAATGTTCATGTGTGAGGCACATGCGTGTGGCCCATAATCACATCTAAGTGCTGTGCTCACATGTGCTTATGCATATGCATGTCTCTGTGTGTGTCCAGTCATGTGCCTATGTAATGCTACATGCCCACATGCACTGCCATGGAAACGGCACTGTGTCTTAACTGAACCCCTCACACAGCCCACTGATGCTCAATCTCATGGGGTCCCTTGCTCCAGGTCCAGCCTCTGAGTGCACACCAAGTCCAGATGTGGGAGCTGGTCCCTTCCCTGATGTCACTACATCACAGAGTTTTGTCCCACCTATACTCTTGATCTCGGCGTCCCTCACAGCTACTGCCCCATCCCGGCCTCCATGATCCCCTGCAAACCCTACTCCAGGCTCACTTCTCCAGCTGCCCATGAACCAGATTCTCTGCTTCCAAACCACCTCTCACCTCTGTCTCCAAGTTGTTCCCCCAGATGGTTCCACTGCCACTCACCTTTCATCCCTCAACTCCTCCCTCATTCTCTATCATTTTAGTATTTCTCAAGATTAATTTGCTCATTCAACAAGTATTTATTGAACGCCTGCTGTGCACCAGTAACTCTTTGTTTTAGGCCTCTGAGAATACAGCAGAGTTTACAATTCTTTCGAAGAGAGAGAGCAGACAAGAAATACATATATACATAACATGTCAAATGCTGATAAATGTTAAGAGGATGCAGGAATGGATTACAGAGAAAGTTCACGGTTCTAGGGTGATGGAGGGAGAGATGGATGTAAAGATGGATGGATGGGTGGGTGGTCACCTCAAGGCCTCCCCAGGAACAGACAGTTGAGCAAAAGCACAGGCCATGAGGCAGCGACCATGGATTGCATGGGTAAAGGTTTCCCGGAGGCAGGCACTCAGGATAGGAAATGAGATCAAATGAGAACCTATGATTTTTTAAAATGTGTTTTTATTTATTTCAAGGAGGAAGGGAGAGGGAGAAAGAGACTGAACATCATTATGATTGAGAATCACTGATCGGCTGCCTCCTGCATGCCCCACACTGGGGATTGAGCCCACAACCCGGGTATGTGCCCTTGGCCAGAATCAAAACTGGGAGCCTTCAGTCTGCAGACTGATGATCTATCCACTGGGCCAAACCAGCTAGGGCCCTATGATTTTTGATGACCTATCTTTTCCACTAATTGTGAGCTCTCATTTATTTCTGTGATCCTAGCACCTTGATAACTAGAAGGATAGATGAGTGAACAACTGAGTGGGTAGGTGGACGAATGAGTATATGATGGATAGAGGAAAGGAGGGATGGAACAAGAAATAGATGGAAGGAAGGGACAGAAAGCAGGAGGGATGGGTGGAGGAGTCAAAGGGTAACCGATGCATAAACAAATGGGTAGGTGGACTGAGTGGTTTGATGGACAGGGGATAACTAGATTGGTGGATGGATGGAAGGATGGGTAGATGAATGGATGAACAGATGGACGAGAGGGTGGATGGATTAATGGACAGATGAATGATGGATGGACAAATGGGTTGACGAATAAACAGATGGATAGATGAATGGATAAATGAATAAACAAGTGGAGAGATGGATGGATGAATGGAAAAATGGGTGGATGAATGAAAGGAAGGAGGGTTGGGGGCACTGGGTGATCTGGGTGGGTTGACAGATGAATAGAGATGGCAGGATGAATGGGTGAGTCAAAGGATAAAGGATATAAGAGTAGAGAACACAGAGAAGAAAGAGCCCCTCTTAATGCACATGTCAAGGCAAGTATAGGCAAGCACTTGTCTGATGTTCAGTACTCGATGGTCCCCTTCTAGGCTCTCCATATAGAGAAGGGAAATTCACCCTGTGGGGCCCCTAGGTTTATCACCCTGGCATCCTCCCAAGCACTGATCTGTTCTTTTCTCCCCTCCTTGCACACACTGCCCATCCTGACGGAGACCCCCTCGGACACCATGCACTCACCATCCTGCATTCCAAGGCCAGAGCAGGCCAGGCCTCATCACTGCTTCTCCTTGCCTCCACCACACCCTTCTCACATTGACCCAACTTTAGACATGTCCCTCATGCCTGTCTGTAAAAGGACCCAAATTCACAGTTCACTAGCCTCCCATTTTTAGACTTTGTCAACCAAATTGTATTTATTATATAACACAAATTCATTTTCCAGTTTCATTAATCAGACACATAGCAGAAGCCAGCAAAAGTGAAAACACACAGCATGACCACCCCCCTCCCAAGTACTGGGAAGGGAGGGAGAGGAGGGAGAGAGGAAGGGAGGAAGGGGAGACGGCTGCCAGAGCCACAGCCTTCCAGGTGTCCTACAAATCAGCCTCTGAACAGACAGGGCTTCACCTCACCTTCTCCCTGTCACAGCTCAGTGGCTGCAGGAGGCACCCCCTCTGCTGACTCCTGGCATCAGCCTAGCCCCCATGTATTGGCATGGTGTCCCCTTCTTGGCCTCTAAGTCTCTCTCTGTCCCTACTCCAATCTCAGAAACAGATCTTTCTTTGGATCTGGGCCTGTTGGAAGCAGGTTCCCATTCCTGGGCTGCCTCTGGCCTCTGGCACAACCCAACCTTGGGTCCCAGATCAGACTCTGCCCAGAGCGCTGGCAGGCCCGGCCTGCATGGAGGACAGAGTTACTCCGCCCCTCCCAGCAGGCAGACTCCACAGGCCTCTCTCCCTCTGCCCACCCAGGAATGCTCCCGTCTGCCCAGGTACCTTCTGACATTCCTTTGGGTGACAAACCCCGCAGCTATCTCATCTAGGAGCCCTGTAGTTGCCCAGAGGCCAACAGTTCCTGCAGCAGGGTACTGTGTGCTCTCTCCCTTCCCAAGACTTCAGCCCACCCCACCCACCTCCTCACCCACCTCCAACTGCCCTGCCTGGTCCTCACATTAACCTTGAGTGACCTGCATACTCAAGATAGCACCCCATCTCCTCCTGCCACCCTGCCACAAACTCCAGTCCACTGTCCTCCCCCTGGAGACACAGCCACCTAAAGGGCCTCACATCCCCACTCCAACCCTGCCACCCCTCACTGCACACTTCGGGTATCACCCACCCAGGGCCCATGAACTGTGCAGGCCACAGCACAGACCCTGCAGCCACTGCCTGCAAACGAGGCTGCTCCTCAGGCCATGGAACAGGCCTCCTAGAAAGGGACCAACATCCACTGTCCCCCCTCCAGGACCTGCTGGGACAAGTGAACCGGTTTCTATATATGAAGTGCTTGAAACCACAGCCAGCACCAGGACGCTGCTCAGAGCATGCCAGATGCCAGTACACACAGACGGGCTCTGCTCCCACCACCATCAGCTGACCATCCAGAGGACTCCTGGTCATCCTTCAAGGCTCAGCTCAAACACCTCTGCTTCAAAGCCCTGACTCCTCAGGCAACCCCGGGAGCATCTTGTGTTAACACTGCGTATCAGCTACACACAAACGTGAAGCCACTGCGCTGCCTGCTCTTCTCCAGCCAGAGAGCCAGCCTCTGTGATCCCAGCTCCCAAGACAAGATCCAACCCATGCCAATAAACACCTAATAAATATATGCTATCCTCAAATTCCAGCTCCAGTCCAGACCTCCCTCCCACCCTCCCCAGCCTCAGCCTTAAGTCCAACTGTCCTGGAGCCACACAGTTCTCAAACCAGAGCCCTCACTGCTCACCCATGGGAGAGCACAGACCACTCCAAACTCAACACAACTGGAGGCCCCCTCCTCCCTCTCTCCTCCCCATCAGGTTTGCACCCAGGCCCCAAACTCTGAAAGCTTTCCTCACTGAAAGAGCTGCCCCACCTACCCCCCACAGGCACACAATAGAGGGTCACATCCCTGCCACACTCCCAGCCACCTGGAGAGCCATGAGGGCAAGGCAAGGAAGAGCCGAACAAACAGAAGGCACCTGCTCAGGAGCAGGTCAGAGGCCACAGTCCACAAGCGGCAGGAGTCCAGGCTACCTCGGGGTAGACTTCCCTTGGGAAATTCTCAACCCAGGTTAAGAGGACACAGCCACCAGAGCCCAAGCCCTGTGCAGACAAAAGAGCCCTGAGCCCTGGGTCCAGAGATACCATGGTGATCACCACCGGCCACCACTCAGGAGAGGTCTCTCCAAGCCAGAAAGAATGCTCGTGGGTCTGGGAGCCTCCTGGGCCCTCTGAGTGCTCCTTGCAAGGCTATTGATTCCCTAGCTGTGCAGCTGCCCTGGCCTGGGGCCTCCAAAGGGCCTCGGATCACCGTGCCCAGAGGGGTCCTTCCTGGAGGCCAAGACTATCCCACCTGCTACCCTCAGCCTGCCTGGCTGCAGGGCACCCACAACGGCCCCTCTAGGCCCAACTGGCCTCATTTCCTCTTGGCGGATCCAGGCCTCCCTGCCCTGCCCACCTGGACAATCTGTCCACTTTGGAAAGACGTCTCCCTCCTCACAATGACCTCATTCCTTGTCTGCCAGCCACGCAGGAACCATGCACTCCAAGCACCCAGTATTTCTGTTAGGGCTGGGTAGTTATATGGTCACTGGGGGGCACATGTGGGACCACACAGGTGCATGTTCATACATGTATGTCCTGTGGGCACAGCACGTATGCCTCCACTACCGTGAAGTGTCTGTAGGTATGTGCAGGGTGTGTGTGTGCCATGTGTCTGCTGTGCACACAAGTTTGCATCCATGTTGAATGTGTGTTTGAGTTTTCCCTCAACTTTTCCCTGAATGTCCACATGTATTCAGCTCTGAGAAAGGCCACAGGGGACCGAGGAAGCAGCCCAGGGGACGTGGGGGTCACTCACCATGCCGTGTGTCATACTGTCTCATCTGCACCTCCTCCACGCAGTCGGCCGGGAACCAGCCCGTGCGGCCTTTCACGGTCCCCTCCCAGAAACCGCCCTCCCCAATGCTGAGCACTGGGGGGACAGAGGCCAGAAAGGCTGTCAGGCAGAGCAGGGCCACAGGGACCCACACCTCCCCCACCGCCCCCACCACCACCTCAGGCTCAGGTTCTCCCACCCACCCATCACCCTTCCTCCCTCCCCTTCCTTCATCCTCCTGGCGTTTTCCCTGGAAAGATTTCGGGATCCACGCGGAAGAAAAACGAACAGATGGGCACAGCACAGGACAGGCATGTGGGGGACAGAGAGACACAGATGGACACACTCGCGGGGACAGGCGGCTGAGGCAGGGGCCACCAGGTGACCCCTCTCCTCCCATTCCATCCTTGCTGTCACCACCCCAGGGTCACTGACCAGAGTGCAGGGTCACTGCTTTGGCCAGGGGATTGGGCCACAGATGGACCAGGCAGGCTGACCCTCAGGACTGTTTCCTCCCCAGGCTCCCCTGGCATAGGGCACCCACGAAGACAGGGCCCCGATGATGGCAGAGAACCCCAGACTGAGAGAAGCCCGTCGTGGCACAGGGTTCCCCAGAACAGAGGAAGCCCCGTGCCAGAAACCCTCCTCATACACAGACACCCACATAATTGTCACAGACATCACCCACCGGGCACAGGTTCCCCACAGAGCACAAGGGTTCCCAGGCAAGAAGTCCCAGAAGTGACACGAAACCCCATAACCACAGGGAGTCTGTAATGGGATGGGGTCCTTGGAACACAGAGAACCCCAATGACACCAGCCCCTGTGACCAGAACACCCCACGACTAGAGGAACCCATCGCGATGGAGGGACAGGAACCCCATGCACACAGACCCCTCCCGGACACGGAGCCCTTCACGGCGACACAGGGGTCCCCCGTGGCAGATGCATCCCATAATGAGCGCCGTGGCTCCAGTGCCCAGGGAGACCCCAAAATGGCATCAGCCCCTCCAGACCGCGGGGCACCGACCCCGCCCCCCGCGCCCCTCACCCTTCACGGCCTCGCCGCGGTGCAGCGGGATCTCGCCCTCGCCCTGCGGGCTGTGCGCCTTCACGGCGATGAACTTGCGGCCGGGGACAGCGCTGTAAAGTTTCCGCTTCGGGCCGCGGGGCGGCGGCGCGGGGGGCGCGGGGGGCGCCGTGCCGGGGCCGGGCGCGGGGCCGGGGCCGCCGGGGCCGCCGGGCCCGCTCGGGCTGTAGACGAACACGTAGGTGACGGACGCGATCCCGGGGGGCAGCGGGCACGCGAAGCCGGCGCCCGGGGCCTCCATGGCGCGCGGCCCGGCCCCGCCGCCGGCCTCACCGCAGCCGCCGCCGCAGCGCCCGCCGCCCGCCGCCCGCCGCCGCCCGCCCGCCCGCCGGGGGCCCGGCCCGGGGCCGCTCCATGGGCCGCGCCGCCGCGCCCGGCCCGCTCCCGCCAGCGCACGAGCCGCGCCCGCTCAGGGCTCGGGGGCCGCGGGGCTGCGCTCCCGGGCGCGCCGGGCTCGCTCCATGCCGCTGCTCCGCGCCCCGCCTCCCCGCGCGGCTCCTCCCTCTGCGGGCGGCGGCGGCCGGCCCTCCCCCGCTCTCCGCGGCCCCTCGCGCGCCCCCACGGGGAGACCAGAGCGAGGGGACTGCGGTGCGCGGAGGGCGGAGGGCGGAAGGTCGGGCCGAGGAGAGCGGGGAAGGGGCGGCGGGACCAGCAGGAGCGGCCAGGTGGGAGCTAGGGCGGGCTGGGCGCTATGAAGGTTACCTCCCAGCCACAGGCGCTCCCCCTTCCCCCCTGGCCCCGCGGGTCTGCGCCCCCTCCGGCCCCCACCCCGCTCCTACCCGCTGCTTTGGCCTTGGCCTCCTCACACTCTGACCGTTGGCTGCCATGCATCGTGCGCCTTAATCCCCCTCCACCTGGGTCCAATACTCTTTGGATACTGCCCTGAGGCCCATGCACACTCGCGGACTGCTGTCCCCCGCTGGGCACTGAGCGTGAAGCCCGGCTCCTCCACCTTTGTCCTGTTCAAAAGCCTACACTGGCTCCCTAGAACCTAGGCAGGCCGGGTCCACATCCTCAACCAGTAGTGGGAGCTCTCTGGGACTGAGAAGTAGTCACAGCCCAGCCACACACATGGGTACCTTCCTTTCCCTCCTCTGTGTACGGTGGCGTTTTTAACACCTCAATATTCTAATCATGCTATTCCAGCCCTTGCTACTGTCTCTCAGCCACAACCCCCTCTCCTCTGCCCTGTGATGCAGGTGCGATCTCTCCGGGGCTAGGGGCTCCCTTCCAGGCTCTGCCAACCTGGGGCGCCAGGGGAGCCACCACCTCCCTCCCCCACCCGCCCCACCCCATCTCAGCTCAAAAGCCACTTTCTCTCCTTGGACCAAAGGTGACACCCCACACACACACACAAAGACCCTCTTCCCTTCAGGTTCACCAAACTTCTTCAGCCCCTTCTGGCCACTCAGGGCAGCCCCTTTACTTGGATCCCTGCCCACCTCACTGCTTCTTAGCCCTGGGCCTCAGCTGTCACTGTCCTCCCAAGACCTTCCTGCTATTGGCTTCCACCACTTCCAACACCCTAGGCACCAGCTAAATGTTTGTAGAAAAATAACACTAATAATTCTGGGGTCCCACACAAAGCAGTTTGCTGGTGTCCCACACATAGCAGGTCTTGCTTTTGTGTTTGTTAAAAGGCGAGGAACACACAGAAGATCAATGAAAGCAGGGCATCCACACAGCTCCAAGCAGGAACAACCCTCTGCAAAACGTAACCAGCCAGAGTTTGTTCCTCCAGCCCAGGGATGGGGAACTTTCTTTCTGCCAAGAACCATTTGGATGTTTATAACATCATTTGCAGGCCATACAAAATGACCAACTTAAAAATTAGCCTGCTGTACTTGGTCAAACATCTCATTAACTCACCCCAATGCCGTGGCAGGGCCAGACCAAATGATTTCTCAGGCCTTATACAGCCTGTGGGCTGGACATTCCCCACCCGTTTTAGCCACCGGACTGTCCCACCTTTAAAAAAAAACCACGGGACATGCAAATGCTTCAGGGAGAACTGAGATGACTTGGGGCAGGACAGGCAGCCTTGGAGTCTGGGCAAGGACACAGACAGAGCAGGCATCACAAATCAAGGCTACACGAGCAGGGAGAATGACAGGTGATAAAGTGGGTTTTATAAGCTCCTGCTGCACCCCACGCCCTCTGCTGAGCACAAGCTTAGGAAGTTTGGGAATTAGATCTACGTGCTTCCTAGCTCTGTGATTTTGGACAAATCACCCACCCCACCTGAGTGTCAGGACCCTCATCCGTAAAATGGCACTGACAGAGAACAACCTTGTGCAGGGTCAAGGTTAAGCTAGACAATGGAACCCAGCTGTCACTGTGAAAACAGCTGTTTGTGTGACACACTCAACAGTGTCTCCCCAGCACCTTCCCTACAACCTGCTCTGGGAAAACTGAGAAGCTAGAACAATGGCTCCTGCCCTGGCCAGTGTGGCTGGCTCAGATGGTTGGAGCATCTTCCCGAACACCAAAGGTTGCAGGCAACCCATCAATGCTTCTCTCTCACATCGATGTTTTCCTCTATCTCCCTTCCTTTTTCTCTAAAATCAATAAAAATATGCCCTCCAATGAGGATTAAAAAAAAAAAGGAACGATGGTTCCTGCCCTGGAGGTGCAGGCAGGAGAAATGCTTTCACCAGCAGCGGCTGGGGGCACTGCAGGCCAGGGCCTTCTCATAGGGGTCTCTCACCAGGTTCAGAAGGCTCCCAGACGAAAACGACTTAGGTAGGAGTAGTCCTACCTTACTGATGAGAACCCCAAGCACAGAGGGATTGGCTGACCTGTCCAAGGTGGCTCCCGCCCCCCCTCGCGCTATGCTGGCTCCTCCCAGCTTGGGCCCTGGTACCCATCCACCCAGACCTCACCAGGGCCTCCCATACCCTCCTACCTGATGTTGCTCTGGCTGCCCCTGCCTGCTTCAGTGCCATCGACGTCATTCTCTTTGTCACCATCATGGTCCCGGTCTTTGTCTTTCTCCTCCTGCAGCCGCTGGAGCAGCAGCTGGTGGGGGAGGCTGCGCAGCGAGGGTCCAGGGGAGGCTTCCGGCTGCACCTCACCTTTCAGGTTGATGTCACTGGCTGAGCGCTGCAGGGGCCGTGGGGAGGCCAAGCCACTGGGGCCGGCCAGCCGCCGCCGCTTTGCATAGCTGGGGGTTTCCCTAAATGGTACTGGGGGTGGGGGGCACATAGGTGAGGCTCTGGGCAGCCAGAAAGGGTGGCCAACTTGTCCTGGTTTCAGATTTTAGAACTAAAAATCTTGTGTCCCACGAACTGCCTCAGTCCCAGGCAAACCAGGAGAGCTGGCCACCCCGAAGCTCCCACGGGGTCACATTCCAAACTGCCTGTAATTGGAGCTTCAGGGGCAGAAGCCTGGTCTTCCCATCAGCCAGGTGAGCTCTGGGAGAGGCTCAGAGCTGCTCTCAGAACAGCTCGTTTCAGAGGAGACAGAAAAGGCCACATATTTGGTGACAAATCTCACCAGGTGCTGCTGCCCGGGCCATGGAGCTACTCCACCAGGAGACTGTAAGGGAGCATCAGACCAGGGGCTGGCAAACTTCTGTCAAGAACCAGTCGCCGTTTCAAGCTTCATAAGCCACACTGCCTCTGCTGCAGGACCCAACACTGCCACCGCCGCAGCACAAAAATAGCCACAAACATATAGAAGCAAATGGGCTGTGGCTGAGTTCCAATAAAACTTTATTTAAAAACCAGATGAGGATTCAGAAAACATGGTCCAACTATATGCTATTTACAAAAGAATTACCTCAGATCCAAAGACACAAGCAGGTTTAAAGTAAAAGGATAAAGGAAGATATGTAAATAGAAACCAAAACCAAGAGAGCTATGTAGCTGTATTCATATCAGACAAAATAGACTTAAAAAGTGTTACAAGAGACAAAGGACATTATGTTGATAAAAGTGTCAATTCATAAATAGATTAACAATTATTAACATATATTCATCAAACAACAGAGTATCAAACAAAAATAGGAAATAAACATTGACACATTTGGATAGTTCTATAATAATACTTAAGACTTTAATACCTACTTTCAATAATGGATAGAACATTTAGAGATGATCAATAAAGACATAAAAGACTTGAACCAAGAGACCTAACAAGATATATACATATATGGAGAAAAACAGAGGGGGGAAGGTGGGGGACACTCCACAAACCAACAGCAGAACACATTCTTCTCAAATATACATGGAACATTCCTCAGGACAGACCAAAGCAAGTCTCAATAAATTTCATAACTGAAATCAGACAAAGTATCTTTTCCAATCACAATGAAACTAGAAATCAAATACAGGAAAAAAAGAAAGTTCACAAATATGTGAAAATGAAACACAATCTTAAACATCCAATGTGTCAAAAGAGAAATCACAAGGAAAATTAGCATATACTTTGTGAAAATAAAAACAAAAATACAACATACCAAAACTTAAGAGATTCAGCAAAAGCTATACTATGAGGGAAATTTGTAGCCGAAAACACCTATGTTTAAAAAGGATAGAAATCTCAAAATCAATATCTTAATTACGTATCTTAAGGAACTAGAAAAAAGAAAAGCAAACCAAACACAAAGCTAGCAGAAGGAAAGAAATAATAAAGGTTGGACAGAGATAGTATCAATAAATGAAATAAAGAATAGAAATACAGAGAGAATCAATGAAACCAAAGCTATTTCTTTGAAAATATCAACAAAATCAAACCTTAGCTAGACTGAGGAAGAAAAAAAATGATGGACACATGTAATTAAAATCAGAAATAAAATGTGAGGCATTACTACCAATCTTAGAGAATTAAAAAGGAATTTGAAAAAATGCTATGAACAATTATATGCCAACAAATTAGATAAGCTAGACAAGATAGACAAATTTCCAAAACTGACTGCAGAAGAAAGAGAAAATCTAAAAAGGCCTATAACAAGCCAAGAGATTGGATCAGTAATTACAAATCTCCCAACGAAGAAAAGTCCAGCATCAGATAGCATTATTGATTACTTCTACCAAACATTTAAAGAATTAACTCCAATCCTTCTCAAACTCTTCTTAAAAATTGAAGAGGAAGGAACACTTCCTAACTCATTCTATGAGTAATTAAAAACTGAGCAAAAGACTTGAACAAACACTTCAAACAAGAATACAAGTGGCCAATGAAAAGATGCTCAGCACCATCAGCCATCATGGAAATGCAACTGGAAACCCACAATGAGATGTCACTTCACTCAGACTAGAATAGCCATATTAAAAAAAAAAAAATTTTTTTTTACAAGAACACATTTAGAACCTGAAGAATTTAGAACCCTCACACATTCCTGGTGGAATTGTAAAATGGTGGAAAACAATTTAGCTGTTCCTCAAAAAAAATGCAGAATTATCATATGATCCAGCAATTCCACTCCTAAGTATAACCCCAAAACAACTGAAAACAGGTACTCAAGCAAATACTTTCACACATGTTCATAGCAGCACTATTTGCAATAGCCAAAAGGTAGAAACAACACAAGTGTCCACCCAAGGATGAATGGATAAACAAGAAGTCACATATACAAATAAGAAAATACTATTCAGCCATAAAAAGGAATTAAACTGTGATGCATTCTACAATCTGAATAAAGCTTGAAGATGCGTTGAGTGGGAAGCCAGACCAAGAGTTACATAGTCTGATTCTATTTATATGAAATATCCAGAATGGTAAATCCATACAGGCCGAAAATATATTAGTGGCTGACATGGGTTGAAAGAGGAGAACGTGGAATAATTGCTTAGTTATTTAGGGTTTTCTTTGGGGTGATAAAAATGTTTTGGAATTCAACAGAATTGGTTGTATAACATTGTGCATGTACTAAATACCACTGAATTATTTATTTATTTATTTACTTTAAAATATATTTTATTGATTTTGTACAGAGAAGAGGGGAGAGAGATAGAGTGTTAGAAACATCGATGAGAGAGAGTCATCGATCAGCTGCCTCCTGCACACCCCCTACTGGGGATGTGCCCACAACCAAGGTACATGCCCCTGACCGGAATCGAACCCAAGCCGACGCTCTATCCACTGAGCCAAACCGGTCTCGGCTAAATACCACTGAATTATTTAATTTAAAATAGTTAATTTTATGTTATGTGAATTTAATTTTAAATGAAATTTAAATCCTCAATTTTAAAGCCTGAATTTAAAAACAAAGAAATGTTGATTGGGGCTGCATTTGGCCTGCAGGGCATCGTTTGCAAAGCCCTGTTCTAGATTTCTGTGACGTGACGAAGTGTGGGCCATAGACCAGCAGGCTCACCTTGAGCTGGAGCTCCTTAGAAATCCGGAATCTCGGGCTCCATCCAGGCCCACTGAGACAGAGGTGATCAGGTGAGAAGATGTGACCTGAGAGTGGGTGGGGACCTCCCTAGTGCACCTTCAGAGAACTGCGGGACACAAGCCCATGTGGACACGTGCCTGAGTGTGCACGTGGTTGGTGGGGGACGTGGGTCTGAAGGTGGCTGCTCCCAGGCCAGGGTCCTGTTTCAGGCCTGGCAGTCTAGAGGGGCAGGTGGGGCTGCCAAGAGGCCCCAAGTGTCCTGTCCCCAGAAGGTGACAGGCCCCAGCCTGGCAGACTCCTGCAGCTCCTCTTTGTGAAGCCCCACCCAGGTCCCCACGCTGAGAAGGACATGGCAACTTGCATCTGTCACTGAGGAAGTGTCCTTGGAGTGGATGTGTGCAGAGGGAGTTAGGGAGACAGACCCCTGGATGGCCCAGGTCTGAAGATAGGCTCTGCCGTTCACCCGCTGTGACTCAGTTTCCCCTTCTGTAAACGTGAACTAATAATCACTTATGGAGGGTGGGGTGCTGAGAGAGTAAGTTAGATAACAACAGGGTTTATAGCAAATACTCATGACTACATTCGCCTGTGGCTGTATCATCCAAGTGTACATGTGACAAGTGAGGAGGAACGGGCGAGCAGGGACAGAGCCAATCACCACCGGCCTAAGTGACATAGATGCTGGCCCCATACCTGGACCCACCCACAGCACTTCTAACCCCAACCAGAGAGTGCACCCTGGGTCGGCCAGGCAGTCAGCTGCCATAAAGGTGCCCCCTGGAACCCAAGCATCTCTGTCCACGCCACAAAAATGAGAGTCAGCTGGGGCCCTCCTGCCGCTCGCAAGCCTTGGCTCAGGCAAGCCTCCTCCCCCCATCAGCTGGACTGAGGCCACGGCCAGAGTCCAGACCCACAGAACCAAATCCCAATGAGGTCAGAGGTGAGAAGTAGGTGCAAATAACTGTAAAAGATCATTTTTGCTTAAGAGAAACGAAGGCACAGAAGCCCTAAGCACCTTTCCCACAGTTAGAGGACCACAAGCCGAAAAGAGACCCCACACATCCATGGGCCCAGGTCCTCCCAGGCTAACAACCTCTGCAAGCTCAGACCCAGCCAGACTGAGACATCTCCTGCCCCTAACACACCTCCAACCTCAGCACAGCTCTGTCAGCCAGAGCCTAACCTGACACCACTTCACTCAGCGGATGGATACTGCTGCCCTGGAGCCGCCTACACCCAGGACCCACTACCCATTACCATGGTCCCAGCCCTGCTCAGGCATCAGGGGTCCATAAGCGAGCCTTACTGCTGAGAGGTCTACTCAGGGGAGACCCTACAGAGCAAGGTCCTTAAAGGTGAACTTGGCCTTAATCTCAACCCCAGACCAAAATTCAACTCCAGACAACACATTAACTTTACGTTATAATCAAGAAGGGCCCTAACCCTAAGACCAGCCCTGGCTCTCTGCTACTATCACTCAGGGCAGAAAGGGAGCCTGGGAGTCTGTGTTTCAAAGAGAGCCATGGGCAGAAAAGCCGTGCCAACCAGGACACATGGGAGCCAAGAGGGGAGCCCCCATGTGGCCAGGTACCTGGAGGGGTGGCCTCTGGCCAGAAAATATTCTTCCTTGAAGAGGAGGCCCACCCATTCCTGCAGCCCCAGACTCTCCACCCCAGAGAAGTATAGCAGAGTTCCTAGGACAGATCCCAGGCCAACCCACAGCCCTAAGGGCTGGGGGGTGGAGGGTGGGAATGGGTGGGGGGGTGGAGGGGACCTCCCTGAGGCTGCTGGAGCGCCTGCCTGCCTGAAGTAGAGACTAGATGGCATGTCTGATTTTTCTTCTGGGACCACGAGTCACTCACACACCTGGCCCTGTGTGCTTGCATCACACTGATGTGACCCTGCCAATGAACTGCATTCTTGCTGTGGGCAGGGGCTCACAGCCACGGTCCCACACTCCCGGCTAGCCCTTAACTTGACCTAATGGGAAACTGAGCCTTGACCCTAAGTTCAACCCCCTCCCAACCTCAGTGGATCCCTAAACCCACCATTGGCCCCAATCAACAGCCCCAACCTAACCATACCCTTGACCTTGACCCTGACCCTCTGTCCACTCTGCACAGGCCCTTCCCTTCCCTCAGTCCGTTTCCCAGCCCTGCAGAGGCCACAAATGGACTCACAGAACGGAGCACAGCTGGCAACCAGGGCTGGAAGAAGCAGCTCAGGGCATGAGGGCTCCCTTGTCATGTTCCCGCTGACCCCAGACAACCCCCACAAACCCACCTTCAACGTGGACCTGGGATGGGCAGAACTCACCGACATCCGAGTCTTTGTGGGTCTTGATGACCTCTGCCAGTTCAAAGTTCCCCGCGATGATGGCCACCTGGGGAGGGAGGACGGGAGAGGCTCAGCCACATCACAATCCCCACCCCTGGGCCCCAGTGGCTCCTGGGGCTCCTGTTTTTGGTGGTTGGTGGCCCGAGGCTCAAACCCTGCCCCCACCTAACCCTCCCACCAGTCTGCCCAGGACTGAGGGATCTCCTGGGACACAGCTGAAACCAGGAGAGTCCTGAGCAAACAGGGGCGTGCCGATCACCCCACTATTCTCTCAATGGTCCCTCCACACACCACCTTTCCTGTCTTAGCCATGGCTCCCCACTGCCTCCCTCCTGTTACCCTCTCTCTGCCCTTCCCTCGCCCCTGCATCTGGTCCTCCCACAGGCCCTCCACTGCCATCTCAGCACCTGCTGGACAGCGCAGTGGCCTGATCTGCTCTCAGCTTTCTCCGTGGTCCCCAACTCCTCCCACACATTTCAGGCTACATGGAAACCCCTCCAACTAGTCATCCAGGTGCCAAGAATCAAACCCGGCCAGAGAAAGGACTCAGAAATGTGCCTAAATTAGTCAGGAGCTGGGACCACCCCTCTGACCTGTGTCACCTCTGCACCCTCCTGTCTCTGGAAGGTCAGGCCCACACCTGTTTGCCCCTGGCCCCAGAGCCCTCTAACCCTCCTATCCCAGAAAGTGAGAGTTCACCATCACAGTGACCACCCCCATGAGCCAGTCCCCCGCTGCTGGCCACCCGGTCCCACCCCACCCACGGAAGAGTGGGGAGATTGCCTCAGGGAAGAACCAAGATCCAGAGAGGTCTAGCCACAAAGAGACAGACACCCCGGGGCAGCCTCTCATTCCTGCGCTTCTGGTACCTGAAAGGCCGTCTGGCTGTTGTAATTGCGGACATCTTTGTTGGCGCCACGAAAAAGCAGGACACGAGCACAGCTCTCCTGTCGGCAGCGTGGGAGTGAGGGTCAGGGGGTGACAGCACACACCCACACATTCAGAGCATACGTGCATGGCATGAGAGAAGCAGGGCAGGAGGTCCCACCTGGCCCAGAAGGCCCAGATGCACACAATGCACACCTGTGGTTCAGAACACACGTGTGTTCAGGAAACAGACATGCACACGTAGGCCTGCAGGGCCACTGCTCACTGCAGACGCAGAACAAGCACGTCTGGAGGGACACCAGATCAGACGTGTACACACATGTAGTCACTGCACGGGATCACCCATACCCACACACACATGTACACCTACAGTCACACCTGGTTGTAGAGAGCACAGATGTGCAGGGCTGTGTTCCCTGAGGCGTTCTGGGCCCCCATGTCAGCGCCGTAGAACAGCAGGTGCTCCAGGTGCTGCACGTGCCCAAAGCGGCAGGCCTAAGGGAAGAGGGGGGTGCTGCTGTGCCTCTGACAGAGCTCGGTACCCCCACACTTACAGGGGCTGGAATCCCAACTCCTACAGAGAGAGCTGGAAATGCCCCTACTCCCGACAGAGCCCAGGACCTCACCCCCCCGACAGGGCTCCCTGCCCACCTGGTGGATCTCCTGCCAGCCGTTCTCATCAGTGGTCCCCAGCTGAGCATGGTCGTGGAGGAGCAGCTCACAGCAGAGGGCGTCCCCGCCCCCCAGGGCGCTGTGGTACAAGGGCGTCAAGCCACGGCTGTCCTTGTAGTCAGGTGAAGCGCCCAGGTCCAGCAGGGTCTGAAGGCGAGGAGCCTCAGTGTTCACGCTGGACCCAACTTCCTCCCCATCTTGGTCCACATGCCCCGCCCGGCCGGTACTAACCGTCAAAGCCGCCGCATTCCGCTGGCGCGTGGCACAGTGCACGGCAGTGAGCCCATCGCGTGTGCGGAAGTCCAGGTGGGCTCCACCATTCCTCAGCACCTTCAGCAGGTCCGTGGCATTGTCCAGCTGTGCCGCAAGACTCAGGGGACACTCTGGGTTCAGGGACAGAGGAAGGTTACGTGCCGGCCACTCCAGCACCATGCCCCTCCCCCACTGCTCCTTACCTCCTGAGTCAGGGTCGTGGAAATTGGGGTCTAGCCCCTTGTCCAGCAGGCGGGCTACCTTGTCTGTGCTGTGTAGCTGGACGTAGTCCATGAACTTCTTCAGGTTCGCCTGGAACACCCGGCCATCCTGGTTAGCCCCATCACAACCATCATCATCGGCTGTCACCCACTTTCAAACAGCCAGACTCAAGCCTCCTGGCAAGCATCCATGCTGCCCAGCCCCTCACCTGGTCCTAGCGCCACAAGGCCACCCAAGCAGGGACCAGCCCACCCTCACCCCCGTCCTCATCGGGGTTCTGTCAGAGGCTCCAAGGTGGCCTGTTTCTTCCCTGGTCCATATCCCACATGCGCTCGCCCCTGGCAGACCTCCCAGGAGCTTCTCCACCCGCAGGTGGGCCTACTTGTGCCAGCACCTCTCCTGCCTTTCATGTCACTCCACCTGCATGAACCCACCCAGCAAAGCCCCCGAGTCCCTGCTGCTACAGAAGCTTCACGCACAGGTAGGTGCCTGGCTGGAAACAGCAGGCACACCAGAAATGGACAGGGCAGCACAGGGACCACACCACAGGAGGTAGCCTCCTCGGATTGCTCAGGACGACTGAGGGAGACCTCAGCCGGATCCAGGGTGAGTGGTGTCAGGGTGGGGCAGCTGGAGCCCAGGCAGGCAGAGACACAAGGCTGTGGTATGAGGTTGAAACTCATCCTAAAAACAAGTAGGGCTGGCTGAAGAGCAAGAGACACCAGTGTCACCTGGCCAGCATGGCTCAGTGGTTGAACATCGACCTATGAACCAGGAGGTCGAGGTTTGATCCCTGGTCAAGGCACATGCCCAGGTTGCAGGCTCAATCCCCAGTGTGGAATGTGCAGGAGGCAGACAATCAATGATTCTCTCTCATCATTGATGCTTCTCTCTCTCTTTCCCTCTCCTTTCCCCTCTGAAATCAATAAAAATATATTTTTTAGAAAAAGGAGTCACTCCTATCCTGTGGGACAGCTTTGGAGGAGACGTAACCATGGGAGGAACCAGGGTAACAGGGCCACAAAGGGGCCACAAGAGTCTCTGCAGCCACAGAGTCACGTCACTGTTCTGGGCAGCAGAGAAGTCTGGCATAGAGGCTCCAAGGTCACAGAGGGGTCACTGGGGCTCAAATCCCTCATCCAGGCTCCAGAGAAGTGTCCAACAAGCAAACGTCCCCTGGCTCACGGGAACCTGAGGTGGGAGCTCTGTGGTCCACCTGTGGGGAGGGCCCACAGCACTACCCTGCCCCCCAGCATTCAGAGGAAGCAGCAAGGTGTGCCCAAGCACAAGCCCCAGAGTCAGCCAGATCTGGGTTCAGCCCCAGCTTCACTGGCTATACAGCTGTGAGCAAGTCACTAAATGGCTCAAGACTCAGTATCTCCCTGTGCCAACGGGTGGTAGTCCTTCCTGGAGGAAACTGATGAGATGCCCAATTCCAAGTGCCCAGCCAGGTGACCACAGAGTGATGCTCCCCCCTCCCCCCAAATGGTGGTGCTTGTTTGCTTCTCTCCCCTTGCCCACCCCAGGTTCTCCACAAGGCACGTATCCGATCGCACTCCATCCTCCTGAGCCAGGATGGGCCATAGGGTCTGATCCAACCCTAACCCAGCTCCAGACCACCTATCCCAGACCTGTGATGCCTGGAGTCTGCCCAGCCCTCCACCCCCAACCCCGGCTCTGGGCCCCTGACACAGGACAAAATAGGCTGAGCCAACGCCGTGTGGCTGCCTCCTTACCTTCGTGTGAAGCTTGGCAAACTGCTTATCATCGATGAGGTTCTGGGCATAAACTCGCCTCTTGTATCGAAACTGTTCAGGTAAAGAAAAGGCAGGGAAAGGCACTCACCTGGGCTGAGTGAACGCAGGCACAAAACCAAGTCCTGCTTACCTCTGGGGCTCAGGCCTCATGCGGATCATCCCCCTCAGCACAGAACCCCTCTCGCCAACCACGCAGACCCGCTCCCACCACCACCACGGGCACATAGCCAACCAACCCAGAGCGACACACGCCTCACCTAGCTGTCCGTGGCCTGCAATGGGCTTTCTGTCTCATTCCGTCCCCAGAATTCCCTGGAAAACCCAGTCCTCTTCCAAGACCTGGATTCAGGCTTCCCTTCCCTCACACCCACTCTCTGAGCAGAACTGACCCTGGGCCACCAGAGGCCAAGCCAACTTGGAGCTCAGCTACCATAATGCTTATTGCATTGCTCACTGCACTTGGCATCCCTCCTCCCAAACCACGTGTCTGTGCCCCATGGCTCCCAGGGCACGGACGGCCTTTAAAGAATAAATGGGTGAGCAAATGAGGAAGGCTTAGGTTTGCTTCACAGACTCCAAGGAGAGGGCTGACGACACACGGACTACGCGCTGGCTTACTCCACACACGCTCTGGGCGCACCCCTGTTCGCAGCCCAATCCCTGGAACCACGCTCTGGGCTCCCACAGCACACGCTGCTGACAGCAGGCCCGGCACAATGCTCCCTGCACACACGACTCACACGGCTCGCCGCACGCACCGCACACACAATTCACATTGCTCCTGCCCTCCCGCACACAAAGCCCGGCTCCCACACCAACTGCTCGCGCCTCGGTGGAGCCCATGGTCGCACCTCGCGAGCCCTCCTCCCGCCCGGGCCGCACCCGCCCGCCCGCCGCTCACCTCCAGGTAGGGCAGGGGCGTGTCCAGGTTCGGCGGGTACTCCTGCAGCAGCCGCTCCTCGTCCAGGAACTTGCCCGCGCGGCCCCGGGAGGGCGGCTGGAAGAGCCCGTAGTTGAGCGCGTCCTGGAGGCTGTGGTTGAGCGCGCAGAGCACGCGCTGCTTGGCGGCCCACACGGGCGCGGCCGGGTCCAGGCGCAGGCACTTCTGCGGCGGAGCGGGCTCGTGAGCGCGGCCGCCGGCCCGGCAGCGCGGCCACCGGGCCCCGGGCTCCCCGCGGGAAGCCGGGACTCGGGAGCCCACGCTGCGGACCCACGCCTCCACCACCACCGGCAACGCCCCGCCCGCCCCAGGGCGGTGCTTCCCGGGGCCCCGCCCCGGGCGCTGGGGAGGGTCCCTCCGAGGCGGCGGGGGAGGGGTGAGTAGCCGCGGCCGGGGTCCCCGCGCCCAGCGCGGAGAGCACGGCGGGGGCGGCGGGCTCACCGTCTGCTGCAGGTCCGGGATGCCGACGCGCACGACCACGGCGCCGGCCCCGGGGCCGTCCATCCCCGCGCCGGGGCCGGGGCTGCTCGCGGCCGGGAGCGGGGCGCTCGGGGGCTCCACGCGGCGCCCCGGCCCCCCCTCGCCCCCCGCCAGGGCCCCGTCGGTCGCGCTGAGCGGGAGGGGGCCGGAGGGGGCCGGGGCCGACGCGGGGGACGGCGGCGCCGAAGGTTCCGCAGGGGCGGCGGCGGCGCGGCTCAGCTGCATGGGCCCGGGCTCCGCGGCGCTGCTTCCCGGGGGCGGGGGCGGCAGGGGGAGGGGGCCTGCGCCGGAGGGAAGCGGGGGCGGCCGGGGGGCTGCGCCGGGGCGGGGGCGGGAGGGCTCGGGGCCAGCCCGGGGCGGGGCGGGGCCGGAGCCTGGGAGGGTCCTGGCGAGTGGGAGGGTTCGTGCGGAGGGGGCACCAGCGGGCGGGGACCCGGGGCTGCCGCGTGGGGAGCCCTGGGCTGGGCGTTGGGAGTGGCTCCGGCGGCGCAAGCCTCCGCGGACCTCGAGGGAGAGGCGGCGAGGAGGGTCCTGGAGCTGGGGAGGGGCAAGGGGCGAGGGAGGGCGGGAGAGAGAAAACCCGGGAATTAGTGTCCGGAGCGGCTGCGCCCCTCTCCGACCTCCCGCCCCGCCCCGCCCCGCCCGCCGGAGGCCGGGGACAGGCAGGTACGGAGCCCGCCCCGGGCCAGGTCCGACGGCGGGACCTCGGGCGGGGTCGGGCCTGTGCGCTCCTGAGCCAGGCCCCTCGCGGCCCCCCGATGGCCACCGCGTTCAGGGAGCTCGCACCGGACTCAGGCCCCTTGTCCCCCGCCCGCTTCAGGCCCAGGTTCGCCCGACGCCCCCTCCCCGTCACCTTAGCGACGGCAGAATGGGGGTGCGACCTGTGAGGAAGGGCTAGGGGAGGGGGCGCTACGAGACTCCACCTGCGGCTGGAAGAGAATTTTAGTTTTTCCCGTTGTCTTGGCAACGCGGGCGGGGTGGCGAGTGGGTGGAGGAGCGGGAGCGCAGGGAAGAACTCGCTCCGGCACCACCACTCCGCGGAGCCTGCCGGCCCCCCATCCTCAGGGCCCACGGAACTGCCCCGGGCGTCCAAACGCTGCACCCTGGGACCACTGAACGTCGCCACATCCCTGCGCCCCAGAGGAATACCACCTGACTCCCAGGACTCCCAAAAGCACGGCCCTGCGCCTCCCAGCAGAGCCGCGCACCCCCTGAGAAGGCACAGTGCGAACCCTCACCGCACGGGAACCTCACAGCCCGCCAACGTGGGGCACCCCTGGCGCCCGGAGAAAACGCGCTGACCTCGGCCGCCCCCGCCTTCGCCAGGCGCAACCCTGGGTTCCCTGCGCTCCCAGGAATAACTTGAATGAACCCACACACAGAACACCTCCCGGCCCCTCCCCATGGCAACCTGGAAACACCCTCACCCCACGCGGAAGTGTTTGACATTCCCTCCAAGAGCAGCCCGCTCCCCACACAGCCACCACCGGCCTCCCACCACCGCCCACGCCCGTCCCTCTGCCTCCAGGGCAGCCTCTGGGCCCCTCCTCCCCAGGCAGGGCCGCTTCCCAAGGGCCAGCTCTACCCCCTGAGGGAGCCCTGGCTCTCTCCACCCCCAGCCGCCGCACTTTAGGGAAAATCTCTGACCCCCAGGTTCCACTGACCCCGCAGAGCTGAGCCTCCAGCGCAGTCTGTGGGTCTGTCTGGTCCCGCTTTCTCAGCAGACACTCCCTGCCCGGAAGCGTGGCCCCAGGATGCCCAGACCTCCCACCTCCCTGTCCAGGCTCTTCCCAAGGCCACTGGCCTGGCCTGAGTGAGGGAGCTGAGGGTCCCCTGAGGCCTGGAGCAGGATGGGAGGGGCGGGGAAAGCCGGGAGCAGGAAGGGGCGGTTGGAAGCCCACTTATCTGCAGGAAGCACCTTGGGAAGCATGAGAGTTTGGATTTCCTGGCCCAGCCCTGGAGAGAGGAAACTACTGTTTCCGGTGCTCTGTGTCTCCATCTTCCTGCCCCTTCCCGCATCCTCCCTCTCCAAGTTACCCAGGCCCCCAACCCCATGCCCATCTAGAGCAGCCCTGCCACCGCCCTCCCCCATCCATACCACCACCACCACCACCTCCACCTGCCTTTGCTACCAGCGGCTCCTCCTGTTGTGGCCACTGCAAGGCATGGATAAGCTTACCAAAGTCCCTGACAGATGCCAGAAGGCTCTGCCTCCTCCCATCCCCCACCCCCCTCCAGATTCAAGCAGCCCTAGTCCTTCGCCAACTCCCTGCAAACCTGCCTAATGGCCACATACCCACCTGCCCAACCAGCCTGGACCTCACGTGGCCCTTCCTGCCTCCCAGGCCTCCCTACTTGAGCCCTTGCACCGATGCCCAACCCCTTGGGAGAGAACCTCCATCGACTCATGGCCTCCTCTCTCGGGCCCGGCTCAGCCCTGGGTGATATCAGAGCCCTCATACAGCGCTGGCTCTGCAAAGGGATGGCACATGTGCATAGAATCCAGGCCCACACTCCCCCACCACGCACAGCAGCAAAAAGCACACCCAGAAGCCCTGAACCCACCTCGGGCCTCTGAGCTGCCGTGCCGTGGGTCTGCAGACGTGGAAGCCAAGGACACGGGCATTTGTGTTCTTTATTTTGTTGAGACAAGAAAACCCCAGCATCCTGTCCACCAGCCTCAGTAGGTCCACCTTTCCCTGGCCCAGCCCTGTCTCCTCGCCTCCCTTGCCTCTTGTCCTTGAAGTGAGGATTCACCTGACCATGGCCTCCCTCCTTCCTTCACGACCAAGGTCCCTGAAAGATCGTTGTCCCCTACTTTTTGCCCACATTCTCCCACCACGAACAAGCTTGGGCCTTAGGGGGCACATGAGGGCTAAACACCCAAAACAGTGCCTGGCACAGGGCAAACCTAGTCCTGAATGGAGCCTGCCCACCAGCCCTCAATGCCCCAGCCTTCACCCCACCTCCCTTGAGGCCCAAGTGCCTCCTAGTCAGCTCTTCTGACAAGGTGTTAGTCTCAGCTGACCTTCACTGCAGCTCAGGGGTGCCCCCTCCTTCACCCCTCCCTCCTCCTCTAACCCTTCTGGGGCCCACTTCCTCACTGAATCCCAGTCCTGCCCTCCATGCCTCAGCCGCCTGGACCCACATTTCCCCTGGGATAACGCCATAAGCTTTCTTTCCTGGATCCCCTGACTTCCCTGGAGCCTCACGCCCTTGGTTTTCAAGACAACTCATGGGGGCAGGGGCTTCTGCAATCAGGTCTTCTGTCTGCTCTTCCTTTCTGCCCAATCTGCACTCTTTCCCCCCCCCCCCCCCCGATTCAACCCCCACCCCCTCACTTCCATCTACTTCTCTCTCTTCAGCAGCACCTCCTGTCAGGTGCTGTATGGAACTCACTTGTTTAGTATCTGTCTTCCCACCAGAACACGGGCTCTCTGTGAAGAGGGAGCTCGAACTGCTTGCTTAACAATGTGTCCAAGGTCCTGAAACAGTGCATGGCCCACAGTAAGCACTCAACATACATTTGCTGAGTGGATGAATCAAAGCTTCAATCATCAATTCTAGCTGTTCACATCTACCTGCCTTCAGGACAGACATCTCCCAAACTCCAGATGATTTTGTAGGAAGCAGGAATCCTTGAAGGTTCAGTTGATTATAAATCTCTGGATCTGGTCTTTTTCGTGGGTAGACTTTTTTTTATTGCTATCAGTATATTTAAGTACTTTTTCATCCTGAGTCTGATTTGTTAAAGTTTATTTTTCTAGGAAAAATTTCTAAAGAATCTGTTTTTCATCTTGTTTATCATCTCTATTTTCTATTTGTTTAATTCTAATCTGTGTATTTTTCTCTGTCTTTTATTTCTATGATTCATTTTCTGGTTTCTTCAACGGACACTTTCTATTTTTAGTCTTTGTCTTTTCTGACCATAAGCACTTAGGCTATAAATTACCAAATGCCACTTTAGCTCTGTCCCTTACATTTTGATAACTAGTATTTTTAATTTCATCTGTTATGACTTCCTAATATTAGTTTTGTTTTGTTTTGTTTGGCTTTGGAATTGCAGAAAAGTATGCTTATTTAAAAGTATGCATATTTTTGTTAAATTTATTTCTAAGAACTTTGTTATTTCACGTTATTGCAAATAAATTTTTAAGGTTTCATTTTATAATTGTTGCTAATACATAAAAATACACTGATTTTGTATATAAAATTTTATAGCCTATAATCTTTTTTTTAATAAACTAGCTTTATTTCTTTTTTTAATTTAATAGATTTTATTGATTTTGTACAGAGAGGAAGGAAGACAGATAGAGAGTTAGAAACATCGATGAGAGGCCTCCTGGTGCTTACCACAGGCTGTGTGCTTACACTGACTGTACAGAAATAGGAGGCAGAGTAAACCTACCCCATATACACCTCAGCTCAGGCTCTTTGTCTGGTCTGAATTGTGAATGGGGAGACATTGAAGAAAAAAAAAAAAAAAAAAAAGAAACATCGATGAGAGAGGGTCATCGGTCAGCTGCCTCTTGCACACTCCCTACTGGGGATCTGCCTGCAGCCAAGGTACATGCCCTTGACCGGAATCGAACCCAGGACCCGTCAGTCCCCAAGCCGACGCTCTATCCATTGAGCCAAACCAGTTTAGGCTATAGCCTATAATCTTATTAAATTCACTTCATTCTGGTAGCATTTTTTTTTTACAGGATTCTTCGGATTTTCTACAGAAACAACCAGGCCATCAGCAAATAGCAAAATACTTCCTCCTTTTGAACTTTTATGCCTTTTATTTATTTTTCTTGCCTTATTGCAAAGGCTAGGACCATCAGTACAGTATCATATGGAAGTGGTAAGAGCAAGCATCCTTGCTTTGCTGTCAATCAAATGTTCAATTTTTCACCACTAAGTATGATTTTATCTGAAGGTATTTTGTACATTCCCTTTATCAGATTGAGAAAGTTTCCCACTTCATCCATCATGTACAGATGCCTGTCTTTAAGGAACTTATTGGAAACCTTACCCAATGACTCTTCCTACCTCTCATTAGCCAGAACTGGGTCCGACTGCAAGTTAGGCTAGGGAATGAGGTTCTTTCTTAGAAGTTCTTTTATTGCTCCCCGTATAAAACCAGGCTGCTGTGAATAAGGAAGAAGGCAAGATGGATATTAGGATAGACAAGTAGCAATCATGCAATTCTAGAGGAACAGTCATTTACACACCAAATTTTTAACTTACTGCTCTTTGTCATCTGGGTTCTATTGTTGCCATTTAAATAAATGCTATTTATAATTGTCATTTTTTTTCTGTATAAGTTTCTGGCTACTTTTAAGACCCTGTCGTCTTTAATATTATTCAGTTTCACATGATGTGTCTAGGTGTGGTTTTACTTTTAGCTGTCCTCTTCGGGGTTTGTTGTGATTTCTGGTTGTAAGTAGTTATGTCTTTCATCAAATCTGGAATTTCTCTGCTATTATCTTTTTTTAATCAGCAAAATTTTATTGTAAAATAAGAAACCAATATAAAAAATGTGATATAACCCTAGCCAGTTTGGCTCAGTGGATAGTGTCGGCCTATGGGTTGAAGGTTCCCAGGTTCGATTCCGGTCAAGGGCACATGCCCAAGTTGTGGGCTTGATCCCCAGTAAGGGGTTGTGCAGGAGGCAGCCAATTAATGATTCTCTCTCATCATTGATGTTTCTGTCTCTCTCTCTTCTTTCCTCTCTGAAACCAATCATCAACAAGGCAACACAGGCAGCAGGCAGCAGGGGAGGTGCTGCTCGCCCCATGGGCCCGATGAGATGGGGACCATGACAGGATGGTGGAGAAGGTGAGCAGGCAGCACCTGGCCAAAGCGGGTGCGAGTGGGGGTTTGATCACCCCACAGATGGCGACCAGCAGCAGGCAGGCCCTAATGGCCTGATCAACCCTGCCCTGGGCTGGAATGGGGAACTGGAGGTAGGTGGCAGCACCTGGATGGCGGGTGTGTGTGTGTGTGTGTGTGTGTGTGTGTGTGTGTGTGTGTGTGTGTGTGTTGTGACCTCTCACTGGCTACCTGGGTGTGGGGTGACGGGATGGAGGTGCGGTGAGAATGTGGGTTGTCCACCGAGCTCGTTCTCACTCTCCCTGCTACCCTCCCCAGGACGCCAGGGCGCACCGGGGAAGTCCCCACGCTCAAGTGCTAGGCACTTGTGAGGAGCCCACCGGCACCGCCCAGCCTCTTCCATGTGAGCCTGGCCTGGCTGCAGACACCAGAACAGTAGGGGCCGGTCGAGCTCCCTGTGGGTTCATGCAGGAGCCAGTCTGCGAGGCGGCGGAGAGCACACTGCCTGCCCAGCTTCATGTGGCACCGCTGGTCGGCCCAGAAGCTCGTGCTGTGTCCCGGCCTGCATCTCTGCATGGGGACTTGGGCACTTTGACTCAGGCGGAGGGGAGCATATGAGGGCCCAAGTGCTGCCTGGGGCCCAGAGTTCAGCTTCCACGCCAGACTCTCGCACTTTGATCGCCAGCCAGGCCTAGGGACTGCACCCATGCATGAATGTCATGCACAAGCCTCTAGTGTGATATAAAAGGGGAAGAGTGGAAGGGGTGCAGGTGAGGAATACAGATGTGCCTTACAGACTAGAGAAGAAACTAATCCTGAGCAATTGGGGGAAGTGAAACAGATCTTGGAAGATACAGATTCTACACTGGAGATGGAACCTTCTAGAGTGTGGGATGAAGTAAGATTCTTTTGAGGTTCCCCTGACTTCATACTGGATTCCGCCAGGCCAGCAGAGAAGGGATTTAGAAACTCCCTCCTCTTTGCTAGCTGCCCAGCCATAGAAACCATCAACCCATCTACCAATGGGGACATGAAGCCAGCATCCCTAAGGCAGCCTGGTCCCAAACACATCATTTCATTAACCCTCACAGGAAGCCCCGTAAAGTAGGTTTGACTATTGACATTTTATCGATATGGACAATGAAGTTAGGAGAAATTCAACTTGAGATAGCAACTTGGCTAGTTTGCTATTATCTTCTTTAATATTGTCTCCTATAGAAAATATGTTAGACCTAAAGGATTATCCTCAAAAACATTATGTGAAGTGAAATAAGCTATCACAAAGGACAAACATATGACTTTACTTACATGAGGTATCTAGACCAGACAGATTCATGCAGACAGAAGGGCGAATAGAGCTATAGGAATTGAGGGAGGAGAGCTAGGTAGTTATTGTTTTGGGGATACAGAGTTGCTATTTAGGATGATGAAAAAGTTCTGGAAATAATTTCTTTAAGTTTTGCAACTAGTGATGGTTCTGCAGCATAATAAATATATTTAATGAAATTATAAAGTGTGACATTTAAAATATATATTTTTTTAATTGATTTTTTTACAGAGAGGAAGAGAGAGGGATAGAGAGCTAGAAACATCAATGAGAGAGAAATATCAATCAGCTGCCTCCTGCACACCCACTACTGGGGATGTGCCCGCAATCAATGTACATGCCTTGACCGGTATTGAACCTGGGACCATTCAGTACGCAGACCGACGCTCTATCCACTGAGCCAAACTGGTTTCGGCAAGTGTGACATTTCTTAAGAGTAAACATTTTAAAAAATATTAGACCTCCTTCTAATTTCTGCAAAATGTTCTCATGTCATAGTCTATTTAGGTTTTGATTAATTCCTTCAGACTATCTTCTAGTTCAGTAATTCCCATCTGTGTCTAATCTGCTATTTAACCTCCCCATTAAAATTTTATTACATATTTTTATTCCTTTTCAAATCTATCAGATTTTCCTGTTGCTTTTTTCTTTCTTTTTTTTCTTATCCTATCATTCTTGTCCAGGTTTTCAATGGCATCTTTTATCTCTGAATATTTATAGCATACTTACATGTTTTGTGATTTTATTTTTTATTTCTATTTTAAAATATATTTTTATTGATTTCAGAGAGGAAGGGAGAGAGAGAGATAGAAACATCAACTATGAGAGAGACTCATTGATTGGCTGCCTCCTGCATGCCCCTATTGGGGATCTATCCCACAACCTGGGCAGGTGACCTGACAGGGAATTGAATCATGACCTCCCCGTTCATAGGTCGACACTCGGCCACTGCGCCACGCCGGCCGAGCCATGCTTCGTGACTTTAGATTATGATCCCACTTTACCCCATCTCTTCTGTGGGATCCTGGGGGACGGCGCTGGGCTTTCTCCTCCCGAGATGACCATCTGCTCGGGCAGCGCCTCAATGCCGCCAACCAACAACCTTCACCTGAGTCCAGACCACTCCTCGTATCGATTTAAAATTCATACCCATTTGAAGGTAAATCGATATTTCTGCATTTCGAGGGGAGATTTGATTTATATCTTGTGCTGACATCATTGCAAAAATCTTTCATTTCTCTTTCCTGGAGAGCAGGGTTTCTTCTCAGTCTTTCTAGCTTCTCACCAAAATTATGGGTCTTTAAAAGTCCTGAGCGTGTGAGAATCTGAATTCTAACTTCTTATATTGCATGGGCCTAAGCCTTTTTTTTGTCTCCTGTGCAGCCACTAAAACCCCAAGCTCTAAGTTCCTGGTACTGAGACTGTCCCCAAGGTCATACGTGCTAACACTGTTGCTTTTAGATTCCACTTCATTTTGTGTCTCTGGGAATACACCTTGCTTTCTTTTAAGCTCAGCTATGCATTTTTTTAAAAAAATGCCCATTATACTTTTGTCAGCATTTTCAAGTGCTTTATAATACAGGGGTTTTAGATTATTTTGTTGGAACTGTTTTTCTTATTCAGCCACAGCAATCAGCCTGTAGAAGTGTTTATTGATTCTTTTTCTGGATAGATATTAAATGAATGCATAAATGAACAAAAGAACATTCTGCATTTTAAAACGTTTATTATATACGCACACCAGACTACAAGGCAGGAGGAACAGAGAGGTGATTAATGGGCCTCTCTGGTCAACCACATCCTCGCAGTCACTGAAGATTTTGGTGTCTTGGTCACAAATTGTCTGCACATCCCAATTTTGACCTCATCCATCTCCATCCACAAGATTCCTCGCACCATGGCCTCCCTCTTTCTTTTTCTTTCTTTCTTTTTTTTTTTTTTTTTTTTTTTTTTAAATATAGGTATTTTATTAATTTTGTACAGAGAGGAAGGGAGAGAGATAGAGAGTTAGAAACGTCGATGAGAGAGAATCATCAATCAGCTGCCTCTTGCACACCCCCTACTGGGGATTTGCCCGCAACCAATGTACATGCCCTTGACCAGAATCGAACCCGGGACCTCTCAGTCCCCAAGCCGACGCTCTATCCATTGAGCCAAACTGGTCCCGGCTGCCTCCCTCTTTCTTGACCTCTCACCTCCCTGACTGTAAAAGCTAGGGTCTGGGTGTAGGTTGCAGACGCCTACACATAGAAAGGGGTTGAATCCATGAAGTTAGTGCTACAGAGTCATTGCAAACACACTATCCCTGAGGTCCCCTGGGAGTTACTCCTATGGCCACAGTCAATGTCAGCAAACTAAGGCATCAGGAAGCAAATGCTCCAGCTGCCAGCTCCCTGCGGACCACCCTCTCTGCCGGCCTGTATCTCCCACCTCCTCTTGCACCCAGGTAGAGCTGTGTCACGGAGCTCTGGAATCGATTTGAGTAGAAATGCTGTCGGCCACTCTCAGACCCAACCCACAGATACCTGTGGCCCAGTCCTGTTTGTGCTGTCTTCACCCTCCCCTGATGACCTTAAATCATCATGTCAACAATGGCAGCACTTCCCTGAATGACTAGATGGAGCAGAGAGCCGCCCTCCCTGCCCAAGTTGCCAACTGGACTTTCTGTGAGCATGAAATAAACATCGGTTGTTTCAAGTCACTAGCATTTGGGGTTTATCTGTCACAGTAGCTGGTTTTTCCTCAACTGATGTAAGAGAGAGCCCCTGGGGCCTCCACTGGGCTTCTCACCTGAGTGGCATCTGCAGGTAATGCTGCATTGGCCTGCTGCTCAGTGCATCCATCCAAACCGAGTGCCTTGAGAACCGGGGAAATTAACACAAGATAGATTCACATGCCTGCTGTGTCCACTGGGAAATGGGCTGTGGCCCAAACGCATGTTTCATCTGACCCCTCTGATCAGTGGGCTGTGGGTGGGTGGGGGCATCAGAGAGTCTGGGAAGTGTCATTAGCTCAGAGCCAGAGCCCAATTGTTCCTAAGAGCCTGGGGTGTTGTGTCCCCCCCCACCCCCCGCCCCACTGCGTGGACACGCCATCCTGGCCAGACTGCACCTCCTGCCTCCTTGTGGTACGTGTTGGGGGAGGAGCCCAGGCAGGGGAAGACCACGGGGCCCTGGGTATTTCCGCCAGGTCGTTCCCTCTGGCAGAGGCTCCGGATTTGCGAATGACTCATGTCCAGGAATTGGAAGGGGAGATGTGACTCTGCATTGTGAGTCTAGTTCCAGTTATATTCCTGAGACATGGAGGTCTTCCTCCAACACACACCCCCCACCTCCACTTCATGGCCGTTTTGTCCTAAGGGTGACTCCATGGCCAATGAGCTAAACGTCTCCGAGGCCACACTATTCTTCTTGACCATCATGGTGACCACACCTGCCTGGCCACATGGCCTCTGTCATCCCATGATCTCGTTACCCATTTAGTTTAAATAAAAAAAATTTTTTTTTTTTCTTGATTGATCTGAGAGAGATTGACCCGTGGCTCCACCCATTTCTCTCTGCCCCGTTTCATTTCTGCCCTACAGAGGCCAGCCTACCCACTGCCTTTCAAGGTCAAGCACAGTACATTCCTTTCAAAGGTGCTGCTGCCCCCTCACTGCACCTCTAATGTCGTGTGAGGGGGTGTCCTTAGGCCTTCCCAGAGGAGAGTTTGGGGACCTTGAGCAGATCAGTCTCTCAGTCTTTGGATACCTTTTCTCCATTAAACCAAGGAGTTTCCAGCACCTCAGCTTCATTCACACGTGCTATCGTGAGCCCCAGTCTAGTTAGCAGAGCGCATGGTGTCGACACCATCCAGCCCCTCAGACCCAGAACCCTTCATGCTAACCTTCATGTCCACCCAATGCAGGATCATCTTCCTCCAGTATCCTTGCCTCGAGACTTTGCAAAAGGGTGCACTTGTCCTGGTGTCTAAGCCTTCTCCTCCTGGAGGCTGGGCTGTGACTCACATGCCTTCCTCAAGCCCTTGGGCCTGTAAAATGGCAGCCGGCTCTCAGCCCACCTCAGCTGACCTGCACCAGATCTACGGGGCATCCTGGCCGTCAGGCCGTGAGTCCCCAGGCTGCCACTTGGAGGACCACATATTGGATCTGCTGGAGAAGATGCTCCGAACTCCATGTAGTTTCTTGGAAATTGCCCCTCGCCTGGTCTGGGCAGAATTTCCTTCTAGGTCGGAATTGTGTTCTAATAAAATGCTCTGGAGGTAATCCGGGGAACTTTAATGATGGCATGACTTGATTTGGAAACAGTCACCAGCCCCTCTGAGGGTCCTCCACCAGAGGTTTTCTGTGTTGAGTCTGAGACAGATCCTCCTCCTGCCCTGAGTGAATCCCTGACGTGGCAGCTCAGGATCCTTCTCCTGCGTGCGCCATTGTCATGAAATCTGACCACTGCTTGGTGGCAACCTGTCTTCATCTCTCCACTCTGTCCTTGGCCAGAAAACCCTCTCTTCCCCAGGTCTCAGCTAAGGTGCCCCCTGTGGGAGATCACTCCTGCCTGACATTCTCATGGCACCTGCCCAGCACCACCCAGCCCCACATGACAATAACAGTAATAAAAATACAGACTCGCCACAGGCTCAGCCCTGCCTGCCAACCAGCTGAGTGTGTAAGATTATTGTCCTCCATTCACAGGAGCCTGGGAGCAGCAGCTCACACCTGGGCAAAAAGATGGAAGAGGGAACCAGGGACCAGGGAAGTCCCCACTGAGAAAGTGGCATCCAGCGGACTGGAAGGAGTGGGGGAGCTAGCCATGCCAGCGCCATGATCAAGAATTCCAGATGGGGCACAGCAAGGTCTGCAGCCTGAGGCTGAGGGTCGGGGACAGCAAGGAAGGGGTGAGGGACAGCACCACACAGAGCCACCTCCCACCAGCAACAGCGCTCCTGGGCAGAGCCTCCTCTGTCTGCCCTCTCCATTCTGATAGAGTATAAGGGTAAAATAAACGTATGATTTTGTTTTTCATCTCTTGTCTTCATTTCTCTTTTCCTTCCCACCCTTTTACTAACAGAATATATAATTAAGTAATCAAATGAATAAGTAATCAAATGAATATATTTATGTTCTGGCTAAGATTTTATTGCAGTTCTTAGTTGGTCAGGCAAAACCAAAAACTTTTTTTTAAAAAATTTATTGTTCAAAGTATTACATGAGTCTCCTTTTTCCCCCATTGACCTCTCCCCAGCTGCTCCCACCCCAGCATATGCTCTCACTCCCCTACTGTCTGTGTCCAAAAAACCAAAGACTTTTAACCCAGCCCTGAACTTATATGCCTGGCCACCATGAATGTGGAAGCAGATCAGTGTGGTCTCAGAAACACTGGATGACATACACCTGATCACTGCTTGAGCCGTCATCCTCCGCCACAACTGTCCACGCCCATCAAACCAGCACAGCACATTCAGGGTAGCTGTTTCTTTGGGTCTTCAATTCCTATGAAGTCTCCCACGTCACAGCAAACTTATAAAATTAAATAAATGTGAATGCTTTTCTCCTGATGATGATTCTTTGTCAGTTTAGTTCTCAGACCCAGCCAGGGATCCTGTGAGGGTCAAGGAAAACTCTCCTCTACAAGAGCCAAGGAGCAGGTGCGGGTGGGGTGGGGAGGGAGTATCAGTGGGTGGAAAGTTACTACTAAGATATGGGGATAGTAGTTATCTCTGTGAATTACTATTAATACTACTTTAAATATTAAGAAAAATATTAAGAAAATAGCAGGGGTGAGGGGAAATTCTGGCTAAATCCACCCACCAGGACTCTTGCTGAAGACAGGCAGGTGAAGGGTGCAGAGGGTCCCAGTGGAAGGCTTAAGAGAGCAGAGAATCTGTCACCTGCCACGCCCCCCTGGCTGAGGCGTGCACATACCTGCAGAGCCCAGAATTGATACCAGCCACATGGCCACTTGATGGCAAAGGGTGAGGAAATGAAGCTGGGAGGTCAAGTGTGGAAGCAGGAATGGTGGTTGCTGAGGGCAAGGAGGCAGGCAGAGCAGAGTGAGGGGCAGCAGAGGCCTGGCAGCTGGCCTCTGGTGCCCCAGGTCCTCCCATCAGCCCTGTAGGAAGCATGCCTCTGTGCGTCATCTTCATAGAAAAGAAACAATGTGGCCAGGTGGTTACTGAATTTCCCCAGAGCAAACAGGAAGCGAGGGGTGGTGCGGAGAGGGACACATGGCTGATAGCACACATCCCAGGATGATTTTCCTTGACAAAGGGAGGTGGAAAGGCCCCAGCCCATTTTTTTAAATGACCCAATGGGAATCAGCAAGACGTCTCATTTCACCCATGCCTCTGTTTCCTAGTCGGTCATTTTAAGTTTGGACAAGTGTGCCATTTCCCACAGCCAGCCCAGGAGACACGACAGGAACCTTTAGGTGGCCATGTTCCCACAGAAGCAGCTCACCCACCCACCCAGGCCCAGGAGATGGAGGCCTCTCTCATCTATGGTTCTAGAAAGAGAAGACCCCTACCTTGCAAGGCCTCTCTGCTAACTGTGGGCGTTAGTCCCAAATTAGCAATGGCCCAGGGTCCAGAGCCACATCCTGCACCCTAGTGGGCCGCCTCCCACTCAGGATCTGCCCACGCTGACCCTGCAGCAGTGCCAGAAAGAGCTCACATCTCCAAAGGACTCAGCCGCCTGCAGAGGCTTAGCTTTGAACAGACATAGCTGGTGGCACACCCGCCTCCTCCTGAATCCAGAGGTCAGGGCTGGGCTGGCTTTGGGTCTCGTGTGCAAACACCTGAGCAGCCTCCAGACGCCACAGGGGACAGGGCCAGCCATTGGCATAACATTACAACCGAAGGCTCTTTCTGGGAATCCGGCAGGTCTCTGCTGCCCGGGGTTTTTCCCAGCTTGCAGCTGAAAGAGCCTTTGGTTGGTTCCTTTTAAGCTCCTGTCCACAGCGCCCACCAGCTGTGACTGCTCCAATTACAAGTTCAAAGATTTCTGGGCAGCGGAGAAACTTTCTGTCCAGGCCACACACACACACACTGCTCCAACTGAGCTCCCACGCACCAGCCCAGAAACCAGGCTGGAGGTGGACAGCCAGGGGATGGTTCCCGGAAACTGACCCCTTCCTTCACCATGAAGTCTGCAGCCCCATCTCCCAGCCCTTCCGTGTTGGCTTCCCACACTGCGCCCTTGTCTTGAGTCCACGTCCACAGCGTCCACAGCAGCTCCCCAGACAGGGCTAGGCCTCCAAGGAAGCTATGTCCTGTCCCCCACCCCAGTCCCGGAGGCCCTTCCACAGCCCTGTCCCCCACTCCCCTCCAAGGTCAGTACCCACAGTACCCCAGTCCTACTCTCCCAGAGGAGTGCCCTGAGCTTGTGGAGGAACCTGAGGCCAGGGAGCTGCCCTGGGAGGGTTCTGGGGGGACAGTGGCCTTAGGGGAGCTGCTGAGTGGGGCAGTGCACGGAGTATATTACCCACATAGCAGCCCCAGGGGTGGGCGGGGGGGTTCTCTTACTTGGAGACAGCTCAACAAACTGGGAACAGAAGTCATCTGTCCAAGGCTGTCTGTCTGTCCAGGACCAAGCTCCTTCTCTTCTGATGGGTCCTTCCCATTGGTGTACCCCGGGGCTGCCCAGACCCAGACCCCCCCCCCCCAACACACACACACACACACACACACACACACACACACACACGCACGCACGCACACACGGAGGGAAGGGTGTGAAAGGATTCGCTATCTAGTGTTTCAAAACCAGCACGAGTGGTGTTGATGGAAAAGCCAGCAGATGTTTGCTGGTTCACTGGGAGGTTTGCTGGTTCACTCGGGCGCCCCGGACACGCCCTTCGCTCAGGTCCCCAGCCCCGCAGGGCCGGGAGGCCGGGACAGCCCCCGAGACCCAGGCGCGAAAGCCGGGAGCCGCACCCACCCTCCCGCCGCCCCCAGGCCCGCGCCCCGGGTGCCAACGGCTTGGAAGCGCAGAGGCCCCACGCGCACCCGCTCCGCCCTGCGCCCGCCGCACCCCGCCTGGCCGCCCGGTCACGATCCCAGCCTCCCGCCCGCCCACGGTGCGAGCAGCCCGCCCGCCAGCGGCCGAGACCCTGCGCCCGGCCCTGCGCTCCGCCCCGCCCGGGATGCGCAGCGCGTCACCGGAGCGCGGGGCGGGGCGGGACGCGCGGGGCGGGGCAACGCGGAAGTGCCCGCAAAGGGCCTCGCTGCCCACGGCCCAGCCTCACCGTCCGGTTCCCTCCCGCAGCGCCGATGTCATGTGACTTCTGCCCCTGACCGCCAGCCTGGCCGGAGCCCTAGGAGAAGCGGCTCAGGTCTGTGCGAGAAGCTGTAGGTGTCCTGGTCCAGGAGGGTGTCCAGGGGGTGAGATCCCAGGCCAATGTGGGGGAGCGAGGGAGGATTTGAGGAAGGGGTTGTCTGTTGTCTGACTCTGGATTAATGGGGTCTGGGGCCTCAGGACGGGAGTGGGTGGGTGGGGGCTGCCCAGTCTGGGGCTCGGACAGAGCTTGCTGGAGCCCCTTTGCCTCCTTCCCAAGGGTCTCTGGTGACAAGCCTGTGTGTGCCGCATGCCATGGTGGTGCTGTGGGCCCTCGCTCTGGCCTTGGCTGCAGGTCTGGCCTCCGCCTACCCACCGAACATTGTGCTGATCTTTGCTGATGACCTGGGCTACGGGGACCTGGGCTCCTACGGCCACCCCACATCCAGCACCCCCAACCTGGACAAGCTGGCCGCCGCGGGGCTGCGGTTCACAGACTTCTACGTGCCAGTGTCTCTGTGCACACCCTCCCGGTGAGCAAGGGGGCAGGGAGCCCTCACCCTGTGCCCATCCTGACCACCCAACTCCTCCGGGTTCCCTCTGGACTGCAGGGAGGGTCATAGTTCCCTACCATCTGGGTGCACCTCCGTCTTCCTTTCTCTCTGTTTCACCCACTGTGTGACTGGCTCTGCAGGGCTGCCCTCCTGACCGGCCGGCTCCCAGTTCGGTCAGGCCTGTACTCTGGCGTTCTGACGCCTGGCTCCCGAGGGGGCCTGCCCCTGGAGGAGGTGACCCTGGCTGAGATCCTGGCTGCCCAAGGCTACCTCACAGGAATGGCTGGCAAGTGGCATCTTGGGGTGGGGCCTCAGGGGGCCTTTCTGCCGCCCCACCAGGGCTTCCATCGATTCCTGGGCATCCCATACTCTCATGACCAGGTAGGAGCAGCCAGATCCCTCAGCTGCCCCCTATCCACTTCCTCCTACTCCCCTTCCCTTGACCTCCCAGCTCCACCCCACAGCCTAGACCCTAAGTGGAGCCCTTCCCCCAGGGACCTTGCCAGAACCTGACCTGCTTCCCACCGGCCACCCCCTGCAATGGAGTCTGTGACCAGGGCCTGGTCCCTGTGCCGCTGTTAGCCAACCTGACTGTGGAGGCACAGCCCCCCTGGCTGCCAGGACTTGAGGCCCGCTACGTGGCTTTCGCACGAGACCTCATGGTTGATGCCCACCGCCAGGGCCGCCCATTCTTTCTGTACTACGCCTCCCACGTGAGTAACCCTAGCCCCATGCCCCGGGCTGCCCTGACCCCTGCCCAATGCTAACTCCAGGCTCTGCCCCCAGCATACCCACTACCCACAGTTCAGTGGGCAAAGCTTCGCCGGGCACTCAGGTCGTGGGCCATTCGGAGACTCCCTGTTGGAGCTGGACTCGGCTGTGGGAGCCCTGATGACAGCTGTGAGGGACCTGGGGCTGCTTAAAGACACACTGGTCATCTTCACCTCAGACAACGGGTAGGCCCCAGGGGAGCCAATGAAGGTGATTCCTCACAGGTGTGGGCCTGAGGTCTTCCCATCTGACCACAGACATCGCGGGATAAGGGGGTCTCAGAAAATGCTGGCCACGTTATGGTGACTTCCAGACCACAATCCACGAAGC